CTATGTTTATATTTAAACCCTAATCATAATTAAATTGATCCAATACCTTTATTACTTTGACATGTTGGTGGTTAATCTTTTCTTTGATGCCACACTTGATATTGAGGATTTTATCTTTTTCTTCTGTGTTCACTACCATATCCGAGTCCTTACTTGTGGCTAGTGGTCCTATTATAAGTTTCTAGGTGACTAGCAGCAAATAAGGCATTATTTCCTTTATAGGAACCATCTACTTGGCCACTTGAAACCCTAATCACTTATCATTCCCGGCCAAACCCTAGGCATCATCTACCATCAGTCTGGAATAACCCTTGGTGGTACGGATAATCCATGGCTTCTCTAATAGAACCAAACTTGGGTCTTTCATATCCATAGTGGGTCATTCTTTCTTGCTCATACTTAGTAGCACCAAGCAGGGCCAACAAGAGCAAGCAAAACAATCACACACAAATTTAATGTTGTGCTATTCTGAAATTTTAAATTTAAGCAAACTTAGTAACCCAATTAATATAAATGAAAATGAGATAGTTAAAAATTTTTCATTCAAATGAATCTTCATAATATGTAAATTTTTGAAAGTTTGTTCCAATATGTAGATTATTCACTTATAGTCACTGAAAATTGAATTTCAGTGGAATAATCAAACCAAACCAAAAGGGTTTACACATCTTTAAACAACCATATTGATATGCTATCTTAATATGAACTCATCGAACCCAATAATGATCTCGCCTAACTCAAGCAGTCATATTGGCTTTTAAAGTTCAAGTATACCTCTCTTCAGACTTCCCTCAACTCAAGTGCATCTCAAGGAGGACCGAAACTTTAAAATGGATAGCTGGTATCTTTCTTTTTTATACGAAAAACACTTGCCCCAATAAATCCAAATGTTATTAATGTTGATGGGTGAGCAATTGTTTTTTTTTCTTTTTCGGTGAAGGAATAATGACATAATTTAAATGAACATGTTCATACTTAGACTAATCATCATTTGATTCTGATAAAACCCTTTAAGAGAATTCACTCAAGATTATATTTTCTAGTCACAAATTCAATTTCAAGTTTATTTACCCCATATTTGAAAGACCATTATAGCACACTATCATTAATCTGTTGTACGCGCTTGTAGCTCCGCATCATTCTTTCCTCTAAATTAAAAAGTGGAAGTTGGAAAAGAAAAATGAAAGCGCGCGCATAATTCTTTTGAACATAGAAAAACAATATATTTATCAGTTAAAAATGTCATTCTTAGTTTACAAAGAAAAGAATATCCAATTTTTAGCCACGGAGTTGTCATTTTGAAAATGGTAGATTCTTTTATGTACTCTAGAGTAACTGAAATTTCGTTCAACTTATTCTGTGTCTAGTAATCAAGCTCCAAGAAGTTTGAAAACAATGAATAGATAAAAGACTATGTATTTCTTTCTTAGATCTCCACCTTAAGGTCCTTAACCCCTAATACCTTTCATAGATCTCCACCTTAACCCCTTGATGCCCAAATTTTCATTCCCATACAAGTATCTATGAAGGTACCATAGATCGTTATGAAGCTAGGCTTTTCTGCCTATTCTGGATGATAATAGTCCGTTCATCCTGAAATTATTGTTCAGTTTGAATTTTTATTTTTAATATAAATTGAACTAAACGTGAAAATCTAAATTGGATAGTAATTTTAGAACAAAGGGATTGAGAGAATAGTTAATACCGAGCACAATAACGACAATATGGTTCATAATTATATATAGCCGACTCATCCCTCATGTACAATGAAGGCCAGTCAATGCAGCGACTTTTAAATCTACACGTAATAAGAAGGCCAACAACTTTATCTAATTTGTCTGTTCAAAAATGCCCGATTAATTGTCTTAATTGATGCGTAGTTACACGGTATATACACATCCTTGAATGTTCTTCCTAGCTTTGAACTCGTACGTGTTTTCTTTCGAGACACAACTTGCATGCATTATGTCAATTCTACCATTTTCTTTAATATTTCCTCCGTCTCATAATTATTGTCCAGTTTGAGTTTTCATTTTTAGTTCAAATTATATTAAAAGTTGTACTAAAAATGAAATCTCAAACTGGACAATAATTTTGGGACAAAAAGAGTATGTTTTATTGCATTCCATAAAAGAAGTAGTTGCAACCAATGATACACCAGTCATGCAATATACACATCTATATTGTAACATAAATAAACCAAATTACAAATGTCTTCAACAATGAGAATACGTCTTCTTGGAAAATGACGAAGTCAATAAGAGCCATGGGGAGAACTTGAGTCTGATTAGAAGAAGAATGATTTTCTTGAATTGTAATGCAATTAATATTGTAATTATATCGTCACGATTGAGAGATAATACAACTGAAGATGCACGTTCAAAATGAAATGAGTCACTAGAAATTCATTTAGCACAAAAACGGGTTATAAACAGCGAGATTAAATTTAAATCTCTCTATGGACTGTATTGTTTAAAACTAGAAATTAGATGCACGGACTTTGAAGTCTGCCAAAATATGGTCCCAACCGGACAGATCTTCTTGTTCTTCTTGAGTTGACGAGGATTGATTTGCTTAATTTCAGAAGCTGGCTGAATCCCCGACCAAAGTGACTTATAGTTATAGACCTCGAGAAAACGCGACCACAATTGCTACCCTTTTTACGTTTTTCCGCTTATAAATTCCAAAAAAAAAACAAAAGAAAAAAAAAAGTCAAGCAAACACGTTTTGCTTTTGTTGGGTGCATCGGCAAAAAAATTTAAAAAAAAGATGTGGACAAAAATAATTTTTTTCTATTTTTGGTATGTCTCGAATTTGCCAAATCATGAATCTATTCATTTTGTACTAGATTCGGATATAATAGAATTGATTCATCACATAGTTATAATACAAAGAGATTCGGATTTGCCAAATCCAAATCTAGTACAAAATGGATAAATTCGGATTTGGCAAATCCGAGACAACTAGATTTGTCCACACCACTTCGGGATATATATTTTTGTTTAGGTCCTTCCATTGAAAATTATTTGGGTAAAAAACTCTGGCTCCATTTGGACAAGAATTTTGAAAATTTGTTCAAAAAAGTCTGTTTGAAACAAAAGTTGAAAAAGTAATTTTTGGAAAATAATGCATTTGGACAAGAGTTTTTCAAAACCCTTTTACGAATTAAAAATATTAAAAAGCCATTTGGATTAACTCGTTTTCAAAACTGCTTTTTTGGTAAAAAAAAATAATTTACCTTTTCATATACATAATAGTTAAATAATATATACAGTGATTTTGATATAAAATTTGAATGAAATTTTTAATTCTAAAAATATTAACAATGGTTCTTAATAGAAAAATCTCGTCGCATAGATTAATTTGATATTATGCACGTTGTCTAAATATTTATATATTAAAAGATATAATCATTTGAAAAAATAAGATAAAACTGAAAATAAATAAATATTCAAAAGAAAAGTAGGGCTGACAACAGAGTAAGCAGTGAGGAAAAGATGGGAAGGGAAGGGAACCGCGCATCGCGTGTAACGCACCTCTTTTTTCTTTTTTTTTTTAGTCTTGTTAATAATATTCATGACCCGATTTTTTATAACCCGCTTTTGACCCGGATTATGATCCACGAACGGAGCTAAAAAGACTATTTCAAAAAATTAAAAAATATCCCCCTACCTATTTTCTAAAAAGTCTATTTCAAACCTTCTTTTTTTCAAATTGATGTTTAGAAAAGACTATAATTATTTTGTCCAAACGCATTTTAAACTCTAAACAGACTTTTTAGCCTTAAAAGTCTTTTTAAAACTCTTGTCCAAACGGAGCCTCTGCTTTTGTTAAGCATCCCAAAATTTCCAAACCGCGTCTCTCCCCCCTCTCACTAAACACCCCCACCAACCGAAAACTTCATCCTCCCCAACCACCATTAATGGTGGTTGAGGGAGTTCCTTTATTTTATTTTTCATCTCTTTCCGGCGCCCATTCTAGCGCCCCCACCAAACCCAAAATCGTCAAAACATCAAAATCGGCTCTGCTGCCAATCACCGGTTGAATGCAGATGAGATCCGCTCCGAATGCATCTTCAAATCGTCCTCCTTTCAAATCGGTGCAACCGGCTTTGTTGAGAGCCGCAGATTGCTCCCGATCTGATCCAAGTCGCCGTCGAAGACCACTTAAGAAGATGCCGTGGATTGTCATCTTCAGACATCGTCGATCCCCACCGCTGTACGCCGCTCCTGCTGATGCATCCTCTTCGTTGATTGAATGCAAATGAGATCCACCTCGAACGCATTTCCCCTGTCCATAACTGCCGTCGGTGCAATCGGCTCTGTTGAGAGTCGCAGATCGTTCCCGATCTGATCTAAGTCGCTGCCGGAGACCATCTCAGGAAGATGCCGTGGATTGTCGCCTCCAGAAATCACCGATCTGATGTCGTGGATCTGATTTGATCCGCTGCTACACATCGCTACATGTGCTGCACGCCGCTCCTGCTGCACGCAGCCCCTACTGCAGAAATCGCCGACCTCCGGTTCCTCAAACCGGTCCACCACCCAAAGCCGGGTCACGGCCTCTCTGTTCCAAAACTGCTTTGTCTGCCACCTCTCCTAAAACCGGTTCGTCGGTCCGCAATATCAAAACTGGTCCGCCAGTCCAAAACTAAAAACCTGGTTTACCAGGCTCCAGTTCAAATACCGATTCGCCGGTTAAACTCATACAAAATCGACTATTCGGTTACTTTGGTCTACAAATAGATTGTACCGGATTATGGGTTAGCTAGTTAGACTTGTTGTCTGTCGGCGATTTCTCTGTACTCACTGTTCGGGATTCTCAAATATGCCCACCAATGCGGCAGTCTATGAATGGTGATGGAGAAAATTTCTCTGTTAAATACAATTGTATTACCAGCTAGTCTTTTTCGATATAGTTTACTAGTTTTTAAATTATTGTCATTATATGACGTTTCTCATTGTACAGGGTAAATTTTACGCACTGCTTCGAAAATTTTTGCTTTATTAATAAATTTCCAGGTACTTACCTGGTTTGATTAGGGAAAAAAAAAAAAACATCCCAAAATTTCCAAATATTTTTTTTTGGGAAACAAATCCCCAAAACGTAGACAAGAGAAATATAAATAAGGGCCCAAATTGGTGGAAATTTGTCCACCAAATCCGGTACCCGAAAACCGAACTTTAACACATTTTACATTGCCCACAGTCCCCACTTTTCCCGGCCCATTTAGAGCTCATTTCTTTCCCTCCCCCAAGACAAAATCCCTTCCTTCAAAATCAACCCCACCACCATTAAATTCACAGAGAGTCAGAAAAAACACACACTCACACAGTAACCCACCATAACTACAAGTAGTACACCCAACATTATCATCTTCTTCAGAGGAAGAAAACTTTGCTTCTTCTTCTTCTTCGTTTTGATTTTTTCAAGCCATGGAACCATGGCTTGATGACTTAGCCGACGACCTTCAGAGCATGAGTTTCAACTCCACTACCACCAGCACCACCACTAACGCCACCGACATCCACCGTTCCACCAGCTCCGGCTCCGAAACCACATGGACCGCCTCCTCCTCCTCCGCTCACCACCTCTTCTCCCTTAACCAAAAACCCCACTCCTCCACCACCCCTTCCGGCGACCCTTGCTGGGACGCAATCCGCCGCTCCGCCTACACTCTCTCCTTATCCGACCTCCGCTTTCTACAGCGCCTGGGATCCGGCGACATCGGGTCCGTCTACCTCGCCGAGATCAAGTCGCCGGAGCCGCCGTCGTCGCAGCATTCTCAGAATCCGGCGCTGTTCGCCGCCAAGGTGATGGATAAGAAGGAGCTCTCGAATCGTAATAAGGAAGGGCGGTCGAGGACGGAGAAGGAAATCCTCGAAATGTTGGACCATCCGTTTCTCCCGACGCTGTATTCCGCCATTGATTCACCTAAATGGTCGTGCTTGCTCACGGAATTCTGCCCCGGCGGTGATTTACACGTGCTCCGTCAACGGCAGCCGTTAAAACGATTCTCAGAATCCGCTGTCAGGTACATGAGGCGATGCCGTCTTTTTCTTTTTCAATTTAAAGGCACCAACAGAGTTGTCAGTTGTCACTGCGTGTGTGCGTGTTTTATTTTTCTCAATTTTTTTTTTTTTGGGGTTTTACGAATCGGCTTTGTTGCAAACGGAGGTCCGGAACGATACGTCACTGTATAAGGATGTTGTGGGGACCACAACCCACCTGGCCCTGGGAAGAAGAAGAGGGGAATAGGCTGTTTTCGTGGGGCCCCGAATTCTAACCTGTCTATGGTTTTTGTACTTAGTCGGGTCAGTTGGATGATAACAGTTTCGCCGTCCGGTAGATATTCCCGGTGACTTGACCGGATCATTTCGTGAGTGTATATTCAAACATAAAATAATATTTTTTTATTTAGTTTCATTAATTTGGAAGATAATCTTTTCCTTTTGTATCTGGAAAAAAATTGGAAATAAATGTTGTTAGAAAAGCTGTCGACTGTCAAATACTATATCAAAATTTTAAAAAAACACGGGTTGAGAAAAAAGGGAAGAGAATTAAATGTGACAGTGATACTAATAATAAATACTCCATTTCTATCAAAAATAAATAATTTGTACTATTATTATTATTTTTTTTTTGGAGGGGTATAAATTTGAGGTGTCGAATACAGCTCAAAGAGACAGTGTGGGTTAGTTAATGCTTATGTTTCGGATCACCGTCGATTTGGGATTATTCAGATCACTGACTTACACATGGGGGAGGTGTTTTCATCTTCATTATTCATTATTAATGGATGTTTTTCCTTTTTTTGATAATGATTTTTTATATTAAGGTTTTATGGTTGACCTTTCTAAATGGCACATGTGACAGAGAAATTAGAAGAAATTGGAAGTTGATCTAGTGGGCCTTGTTTAGTTGTTCTTTCTTATTTGAATTTTTTCGTCCCAAAATAATTGTTTTGTTACAGAAAATGAGACGATATGAGACGAATTGAAGTTTTTTTTTTTTTTGGGCTATGCTATCTTTTTCTGCCCTAAAAGATGGTCAAAATCCCAAAAAGAAAACTATTTTAGAACCTTTTTAATGCTGATTTCCCGGAATAAATTTGAATTTGATAAAGAGCCAACGTCATTGTTTTTTTAAAGGTTTTTAATGGTCCTTCCATGGATTTAAGCATCATTAGCTAATACTTAAGGGACAGAATCAGAATATCTCTGCAGTATACTAGATGGAATTTGCATGAATACCGGTTACTGACTGGTATCTTATTTCTTTGACCAAAATATGAAAAAAAAAAAAAAGCTGTTATAATTTGATTTGACAAAAAGTTGATAGATGCACACCTTTTTAGATTCCATCTTCTACTTTGATTTCAAAAATGTTTTCTTCTAATTGGTTTTTACCCATCTCAAATAAAAGTGAGATTAGTTTGAGTTTGATATTATGTAATTGCCTAAAAATGTACTTGTGAAATCGGTGATTTTCTAAGTTGAGTTCAAAAAAAAAAAAAAAAAAATTGCAATTACATTATTGTTGTATTCATTTGTATATGATTAGGTTGAATTGCTCTATGATGCGATGTTCTTATCATATCACTTTTTCTTGTAGTGGTTTTTTTTCCCCTTTCATTTGCATGGATAATAATGTTTTCATGCACAAGTTATCAAAAGGATCCAATACGACAGAACCAAATTAGAAACAAACAAAAGGATTAGATGCCAACATGCCATAATATAAGGATTTGGGGACCAAGCTTGCTTTCCTTAGTTGCCAAATCTTAGTGATTTAACAAGTCTTTTAAGCAGACATCCCTTGAGGTTAAGCCTGCCCACTAGGGAACATATTGGGACCCTGTGAATATAATCATTGATTTGTTGAACGTTTACATACTATTTGTTTTGTGACAGTAGTTAGGATGTCACCAGCAGATAAGGTTTTGGTTTGTTGGTCTGTTCTGTTGTTAGTGTAGCATACAAACCAGAATTACTATTTTATCGGGTATTTCTTTGTAAGACACAAATTTTGAACTGATTCGTGTACTTTTTTTCTTTTGTTCTTTTTTTTTCCCCCCTTCTTTTGTATTCAACTCTAGTACATATGTAGTTCAGTTGATGTATAGAATTTTTTTTTCTCCGGCACGAAATTGATATCATTTTTATTCCTATAATGTGTGTGTGCGTGTTCCAGGTTTTATGCTTCAGAAGTGGTGGTGGCTCTAGAATATATCCACATGCTAGGAATTGTTTACCGTGATCTTAAGCCCGAGAATGTGTTAGTCAGATCAGATGGTCACATAATGCTTACGGATTTTGACCTGTCCTTGAAATGTGACACTTCTACCTCAACTCCAGCTCAGGTTATTTCCAAAGAAAACCAACCCAATGGCTCTCAACCAAACGAGTACAGCATTGATCCACCTAAATTCACTTCCACTTCTTGCATCCTTCCCAATTGCATAGTTCCTTCGGTTTCTTGCTTCAACCCTAGGCGCAAACGAAAGAAGAAGCCAGGACAACACAATGGACCCGAGTTTGTGGCTGAGCCGATTGATGTCCGGTCCATGTCATTTGTCGGGACACACGAGTACTTAGCACCGGAGATTGTATCTGGCGAAGGTCATGGTAGTGCGGTCGATTGGTGGACACTAGGGATTTTCATTTTCGAGCTGTTTTACGGGGTGACACCCTTTAGAGGAATGGACCATGAGCTTACCTTGGCAAACATTGTCGCTCGAGCCCTCGAGTTCCCTAAAGAGCCGACAATACCTGCCGGGGCAAAGGATTTGATATCGCAGCTCCTTGTTAAGGATCCGGCAAGGCGTTTAGGATCGACCATGGGTGCCTCGGCCATCAAACACCATCCATTCTTTCATGGGGTGAATTGGGCACTCCTGAGATGCACTACTCCACCTTTTGTTCCTCCTCCATTCAGTCGAGATGTTATATCGGAATCAAATTGTTCTGAAGATTGTAGCGCTGTGGATTATTATTAGATAATAGTAGCATCATAATGAGAACAACACAATGTTATATAGTTATGCTGTTGGATGCTGTATACATTCTACCTATTCCCTAGGTTAAATAAGTATATATTGCTCATTGTTCAAGTTCCCCTCTCATGCTAATTTGAATCCACTAAAAGTAAGCCAACTATTATAAACATACAAAAGAACACAAGTAATGAACTGTAGTCTAATTGTGAATCACACACAAATGTAAGAAGACAACAGAATTCAAGTTCCAGAATCTGAAAGGATGATGGATGCTCGTACTGGTTTGAGTGAATGATTCTTTAGTATCTAAGGCAACTGGGAAGGGATCTAGCTAGGACTTTACAACAACTGGTTAATTACTCCATTCTTAACATCTTGGGATTGATTGGCATGTCATTTGATTTGCCTTGTGTGATTCCTTTCTCTGTTTGACTCGAAATGTAGCAGGCTCTGAGTTGATGTACTGAACTTACACCCAAATTTTATGTTCATTTCTCCTTGGAAAATCTATGAGCAGGCAGATGACTTCAAATGATTAGATGCAGGGAAAAAATGGTTACCCAAAGGAAAACTCAAAACTAAAACGGGGAATCAACCAATTAACTCCCCAGAAGAAAGATTATATCTTACCATCAATCAGAATGGTGATATCTCTCACACAAATGCTGTCTGCAATTAGACCATTCTGTCCAACAGGCTCAAGTGCTGTTGTCTAAAGATCAGCCAAAGTTTGAAATAAATCTGGAAAGAAAACCGTAAACCTTGAAGATGAGGCTCCTAATCTTCATAGTGCCATTCTCCCATCCCATCAGCGCGTTACAGCAACAGTTTCACCCTTCAAAAGTGATCGAAATGCTGCGCAAGTGATGCCAAAAGTTTGGACACATTCCAAAAGGACTGAATTTAAACAAGGTAACACATTATTACTCTATCCATCCCAAGATGATTGTCATTGGATGAGTAATGCATGATGGTCAGACAAACTAGGTGGCATCACCTTAGTTGTTGCTTCTGGAAAGGAAAACAACCATTCTGAGTTTACCAATGATCTATCGAGCTTAGAGAGTATTCTGTCATTACCAACCTGCTTGTTACTCCAAGTAAAACAGCTACCATAGGTCTTCATTTCTACTAATTCACATTGATCAACAACGAGTTCAAAAAAATCTGTATCCACACTCAGACAACTAGTTCCTCCCTGCTTTTCTTCAGCTGCAAGTATACAGTTGAAGTCACCGGAACCAACCAAGGAACTGAAGAATTACTTGCCTTGGCTAACATGTGATTCCATAACGAGACTCTGCCTTGAGCTTGATGGTCAGCATAGACCACTGACAGATCAAAAACTCTGCTGCTTGCTATTTCCTGTACCGAACAATTGATAAACTGTTCTGCTATCTGGATATTGCCATTCTTATTCATATTCTTGAGCCAAATTATTAGTATCCTTCCTTTGGCTGTATTACTGTGATTACTAACAAAATCATATCGGTTCCATTTCTATCTTAAATCCATCCTCTACTGACCAATCTCTAACAATAAGCGGACGATTATCAAAATGGAACACTGATTGGCTTACAACTTCTTCCTTTGCTGTAATCGAGTTAAATCTTACTATATAAATGCCATTATCCATCAAAAACACCTTATCCACCCCCCTGTTTATTCCATATTCTCCTAAGGAACCCATTAACAACAAAGAATCGCGGATTAGCTCCCAGGATATGACAGATTACAGAAGGTTTCCATTAATCAATCACGTCCTGAATTTCATTCCGCTTAACTCGTGCTATCATCATGTCATTAACACATGCAGGCTCAATAAACTCAAGCTTTCTGTTCATACCTTGCAATTTAGACGGATCGAAATTATCCCAAACGTTAGAAACCCTAGATGCATAAAAAGGACCTTCTAGGCTAATTAAAAAAAATAAATAAAAATGGACTTTCATATTTCAACACCGAAAGAATATTTTTTGAATTAACGTAATTTAACACTATTTGCCATTATTATATACATATGTAGTTTCAAGGGAAACAAATTCTTGGTAGGTTTGTATTTGTCAAATTAATTACATGTACATACGGGAAGGAAAATGGACTTTGAAAAAGCACATGAATTAACATTGAATCAGTTAACCAAAAAAATAATACTCCTTTTATTCGAAAATGTATATTATTTTAACAATTTCATCAATACTAATGTAACATTAAATAATGTATTTAAAATACAACATTACTCTTATTTATTAACCATACAACTCATCATTTACCAATACAATCTCACTTTAAATTTTATTTCATTTTCAATAGAAGGGTAACTAGGTGTTAAACCCGCACAATGTGCGGGGTCAATACATATACATCTATTAAAATATATTTTTAAATTTTAAATGTGTTTAATACAAATACAGTAAGTAGTTTGTAATAATATATATATGATTAAAATTAAATTAGATCGTGATAAATAAAATTGTTTTATATACTTTGAAATGACAACATTTTATAAATTGTATGCCAAAAATGTAATTAAATAATAGAATATGTATAAGGATTATATACAAATAAAAGTAAAAAAGACCACCAAAATAATAATCAGATATTACATGTCATATAAATCAAAACAATTTATGTCTATACGGTTAAAAACGCATATTAATCAAGATTGCACACAATTGGAGAAAGAGACACCTTACATGTTAAATAAAACATGATCGGAATGAGGTCGTCGCCGCAAAGATGTTTTGTAAAGTATAGAAGATGCTTCGTGACGGGTTTGTTGAGACCCGCAAAAATTAATCTGATTTCCTAACAGACCAAATTTAATTTGCAGAAACAGTAGAATCAGGTCGAATCCCAAGAGAGCCGACTTTTAACACTTGGCTTTACAAAAATGCAAACAGGGGGGATTTTTCTTCTTTAAAATAAAATGACAATTTGAAGTAAATAAAAATGGAGAGAAAATTAATAATAGAAAAACTTTGGTTCAAGGAATGATTAAATATATTATAGATCATCGACTAAAAAGATTATTTTTCTACAACTCAAGCATTCAACCGTAGGCTTAATAGGATAGCCGTAAAAAGCCTTATATTTTCTAAAAATATTTGACCAAGCCCAGCACCTAATCAAAACTTACTATAATTTAACTGGGCACGATAGCGTTCCATGTTAAATTATACTAGCAATAAAAACTTTGAAAATTTAGTTGAACCAAAAACTAAAATAATTGAGATAGCTGCAATTAAAATGTTTTTGTCCTATTGATCTCCTAGTTAGACTTGTTATGCACATTCAACGTGTCACTACCAACATGCATAACTGCTAATGTGCTACTTAGTGCCAAATGTTTAAGACGATAGCGCAGCATAAACAATTTGGTAGCAGTAGGAAGAAAATACTTGATTAAATTGTCAGATTAATCAAGTATCTACTCTCATAAAAAGAAATTAAAATCAACAAGTACTTGAATTAAAAGTAGAAAAAAATAAAGTGAAACTTGTAGTCTCACATATAATATAAAAGAATAAAAATCCTCGAACCAAATGAAGAAAACTAGTCACTCATTGTGACTAAAAACATATTTGAAGGTTTAAAATAAAATAAAATAAAAAGCTAAAATAAAAATGGTGGCAAAAATGGAGAAAATTGGTAGCAGCCTAATGCTTGCTACCAGTGTGTTGTTTTTTTTTAAGCCTACCACTACTACTTTATTTATAGTGGTGTTTTCCTAACCGAAAAATCCAAAAAAAAAGGTACAACAACCTATCTCAAATCACTTCCAATATATCTAAATGGATTTAGTTGTTGCTGCCAATCTTTTACCAAATCAGGTCGGTCAAACAGTTGGAGAAAATCAAGAAATAGATTTCTTTGACTTGGTAAATAAAATTGTCAAGTAAGAGTTTTGACTAATCTCCTTGTGGTAAAATCTTTTCATCTTTTAACTCCATAAAGCAGTCAGTAAACCTCAAAATAGTCCATCTTTCATTGTTTCACTACATTGGCACAAAATAATAATAAAGTCCATTAATAATCTTCAAAATATAACCAAATTAGGCATAAAAGATTATAATAAAATGAATTTTATTATAACTATCACTTCGCTTCAGTGTTTCACCGGTTGTCATTGTACATGTATAAGTGGTATATAAATATTTCATATAATTGGTGTATAAGTTGTCATTCGCTTCAGTATAAGTGGTGTATAAATATTTCATATAATTTATCCTAAACATATTTATACGTACATATATACGTACTACCTCTTTCCCAAAAAAGTAGTTTATATTGACTTTTAAAATTTATAACAACACAAATTTCAAACTGCAATGTATACTATTAGTTTTTTTTTTTTTGATACACAAACAAAAAAATTTTTGGTACTTATTATTGGAATATTCAGTACACTTTCGACCGCCCTACAAAAAATGGGCTTATGTAATTTGTGGATGAATTTGACAACAAAGAAAAGTTCAGGGATTTAACTACAACTTTCCGGAAACCTATATAAAGTGGACAAAAATACCAACAAAACCTCCTAAAACCCTTTATTCAAAATTTCCAGCGAAAAGGAAAGATGGAACAATCAGAAGCTCAGGTAAAAGATGGAAAAATCTCCGATGCTCCGCCTGCGACGGAGGAGGCAATCGACGACGAGCCCATTGTTGGCCCCGGACCGCCCCCTACTTCTCGTCGGAAGCGCCCTCTCCAGTTCGAGCAGGCTTATCTGGATTGTCTTCCCTCAGCTATAATGTAAGCGCCTGTTTATGTAATTACTAATTTGCACCTAGGGTTCTTTTTCTTTCGTGATTTCCCAACTTGGGGAAGTCCGAATCCTGCAATTGGATTTGTTTTGATCACATTTTGCTGTTGGATTTGGGAGCACGATGCAAGGGGACGTGGTCTCTTTGGATAGTCTTCTGGAGATTTTTATGGAATTAAGTAGTTATTCTGAGAGTTTGGAAGAGATTTGTGTTCTAGTTCTCGGTTGCAGTATGATTTCTATGTGTTTGATTATCTGTTGATTACCCTCCCCGTGGAAGTTGGTAAATGTGATTTGTTTTTCAATTTTATTCAGGAACCTAAATCTTACAATTATCGTATCCGAAAAAAAAGGATAAGCAGGAAATTTGTTTCCGTTCTCATTGAGTAGTTGTTTTGTATTCTTTTGGAGCTAGAAGTTAACTGTCCGTATTTCAGTTGACTAATAGGGGTAAGCTGTGTAAAAGGAAGTAGGTGTAATTTACCTTGGTTCCGTTAGTATGAAACTTTTGTTGTTAAGGTTACTATGTGGATGGGAGCTATATTGAATCTCTTCCATTTTTCTAGGTGGTTTCCTCTCTCTCAAATATGCTGAAAAGTCTACTAGTCCACTTATTTTGAAGAACAAGTTGTATTGGGTGCTAAGTTTTTGCTAATTTCTGAATAGGTACGAAAAGAGCTATATGCATCGCGATGTAGTCACTCACGTTGCTGTCTCTGGGGCCGAATTTTTCATCACTGGGAGCGCTGATGGTAAGATAAAGAACCTTTTGTTAGAAATGAATGATTACGTTTCTAAAATTCGACATTCGCTACTTTGCCTGAGAATTCCTAAATCTTATTGAGCTAGCTTTCTAGTAAGGAGAGTTTTGTGCGTTTATCTGGTTTCTTGTGCCTCAGTTTCGACTCTTCTTCTTCAGTAGACGGGGGCTTGATAAGAGAAGTATCTTTTTCTAGGAAAAATGGCATCAGTTCCTTTTTGTTAACTTCTTCTTCGTCTTCTTCTTATTACTACTTGCTTTTTTCTCCGCCCAATTTTTGGCATCATATGCTCTCATTGTTTCATCAGAGGCACTTAAGAAGAGTAAACATTCTGAAATTCCATTCTTGAAGTTTTTATTTTGAAAATCCCTTGATCAGTTTCTTGAAGCCACCTTTAAGATCTGGCTCATTCGTTTTAAAGGAAACTATTGGTGGAAAAGGTGTGGTTTATCAGTTACTTGGTTTGGGTAAAATGAATACAAGGGAGAGAGATTTGATTATGAATCAAAGAAGGGATAATCAGATGTTTGACCTACCTTTTCAGAGTATTGTTTTGTTAATGGCACTTTTTATTTGTGATTTGTCAAAAGTCTGCAGACATTATGGCTATTATTATATGTTTGATAACTCTTGATTCTTGGTTGCTCTCAGGTCACTTGAAATTCTGGAAGAAAAAGCCTGTAGGGATTGAATTTGCAAAACACTTTAGATCTCACCTTGGGCCAATTGAAGGTCTAGCTGTAAGTCATGCCTTGTCCTTCTTCTCGTCTTTACTGCTGTTGCCTTTAGTTTTTCATCTTTTTGTTTTAGTTTCCATTTTTTTATGCCTCGATCATGAGATGTTTGAAAGAAGAAACACTTTGTTATTTCAAAACTCTACATTTCTTAATTCTGTGTTACGAAGTTCATGTTAAATCTTTTAAAATTTTTTGAGTTCGTCACATGCAACATCTGCCTGTTAACTCTGTCATTATAAAAAAGACTTGGTCTAACGGATATGCTAAGGTGTAGCAATAAAAGATGTTTATTGTGTTTTGTTCTACTTTGTGGTTACTGCCGCCATCTACCTCCTTGACCTTTTCCAACTCTGCAGGTTAGCGTGGATGGTATGCTTTGCTGCACAATTTCTTCCGATGAGTCAGTGAAAGTATATGATGTCGTAAATTATGACATGATGGCGATGATTCGTCTCAAATTTGTACCTGGATGTGTAGAATGGGTTTATAAACGAGGAGATATCAAGGCCAAACTAGCTGTTAGTGATAGAGATTCCTCTGAAATTCATATATTTGATGTACGATCTGGCACAAATGAACCCATCCTATCTAAGAAGGTATTACTTTAGTGAGATTCTTGTGAATATTACTTTCTTTTTCCATTTTTTATTCCGTTTTGGAAATGTTGGCTGTCTCTCATTCTCTCTAAAATATTCATCCAGATACACATGGGATCAGTTAAAGTAATGAAGTTCAACCATGTTTTTGATACGGTGATCTCTGCTGATGATAAAGGAATTATTGAGTACTGGAATCCTACTACACTGAATTTCCCTGAGGAAGGGTATTGATTTCTAAGCATTGGCCTTGTCGAAAACCTCATATAGAAACTTTTAATTTTTTTATTTTTGTAGAAATGTTTCGCTGAGGCTCTTGTAGACATTAATAATCCAGATATGGGGATTAGGCATGAGGACATATCAGTTGTTGATGCATTTGTCATCTTTCATCAATTTATGCAATGTTATGATATGTTATGGGACCTTTTTTGCCCCGGTTTGGGGGAAGGAGGGGGAAGGGTGTTTTAAGTGCATTCTGTCATTTGATATATTTTCATTTTTCCCAATTGGATAATGATGGACTGTATACAGTTGACTCTTTGTTCTTTGGTTTTCTGTGATTGCTACTTCTTGGGCGAAAGTCGTTATTCTTTATGATTATTCAAAGAGTTCGGTTTTGATTTTAATACATTCATTTTCCTTCGTTTTTTGCAATGCAGGATTAAGTTTAGGTTGAAAAGTGACACTAATCTATTCGAATTGGCGAAGTGCAAGACTACTGCTTCTAGTATTGAGGTAATATGATTTTTATCATTTGAAAAGTGGAATGGCTTCATGGTGATAGATTATTGTTACTCCAAATAGAGAGACCCACTATTGTCTCTTGTGATTTTTCAGGTCAGCGCTGATGGTTTGCAGTTCTCAGTTACATCACCTGATCGCAGGATTCGTGTTTTCTGGTTTAGAACAGGCAAGCTGAGGCGAGTATATGATGAATCTCTTGAGGTATTAAGTTGTCATTCAATTATCTTATCCTTCAGGTCTTTTACCTGGTTTGGCAGATATCACTCAGTTTTATGTTTCCAGGTGGCCCAAGATCTGCAGAGGAGTGATGCAGCTCTTTACAGGCTGGAGGCAATTGATTTTGGTCGCAGAATGGCTGTTGAAAAAGAATTTGAGAAAACAGAAACTGCACCTCAGCCTAATGCTGTTTTTGATGAAAGCTCGAATTTCCTGATCTACTCGACCCTTCTAGGGATAAAAGTAAGATTTCAGATTCCTCTTCTTGTGATGAGAGATCCCATGAGTATCTCTCTGAATCGTGGCAGGAACAGGCATTTATGTATTTGCCTTTTGCTATGTATTTTAGGGGCAGACCCAGTGCTGGGGGTGTATATATGCTTTAGTTTCAGTGTTTAAGGCTTCCCTGTTGTCATTGTGCATTTTTCATTTCATATGTTTGCTCTGCTAGGTTGTAAATCTGCACACCAATAAGGTCGCCCGTATTCTTGGAAAGGTGGAGAGTAATGATAGGTTTCTGAAAATTGCTTTGTATCAAGGTGATCAAAGCACTAAAAAGGCTAGGAAGATTCCTGCTTCTGGAGCAAATGTTAACGAAGGCAAAGACCCTCTCACAGATCCGACTCTCTTATGCTGTGCCTTCAAAAAGCATCGGATTTATTTATTCAGGTAGAACGAGGTCTCATGTCAGTATTGAATAACTGCTTTTCCTTGGAACATTGTGTTTCGCTGGACAAGTGCATTTTTTATGCCAACCTTAGTGCCAATTGTTTCCTTTCTTCACTTGTTGGTGTCATTTAATTCTTATGCGGCTGTATAGAATTGCATACTCAAAATAATTCCTGTTGTAACTATGAACAAGTTTGTGATGCCCACTTTCCAAAACTAAATACTTACAGTCAACTCATAAGGGAATTGAAGCTACTGAAAATTTTCTTCCTGAACTACTCTGGTGAAGTGCCAGATTTTGTATATTTGCTCAGGATAGTAGAGTAGTAATTCATATAATTATGTGGTAATTAAACTATTCCACCCTGTACTTTCATTTTCTACATACTAACAAGAATTTGTTGTGATTGTCATTTTACAGTCGCAGAGAACCTGAGGAACCTGAAGATCCAACCAAGGGGAGAGATGTATTCAATGAAAAGCCACCTGCCGATGAACTTCTGGCTGTATCTGAACTAGGAAAGTCTGTTACAACATCTCTTCCAGATAATGTGGTATGCTATTGCATCCTCTGTTTTTTCTCCTTTCTTAGGCTAACTTGTCATGAAGCAAGTAATTTTTACTGATGAACTTATAAACCTCAGTTTACATATATCTTTGTTTAAAGGAAGAACCTAGTGAAAATTGAACTGTGTAGGTACTTATGAAAAACTCATTGTGGCAAGCAACTCATGTTCCATGTGTCTCTGTGCTAGATTCTTCATACCAGTATGGGTGACATCCACATGAAGCTATACCCTGAAGAATGTCCAAAAACTGTCGAGAACTTTACAACACACTGCAGGAACGGGTATTATGATAATCTGATTTTTCACCGGGTTATCAAAGGTTTTATGGTACAAACAGGAGACCCATTCGGAGATGGGACAGGTGGACAATCCATCTGGGGCAGGGAATTTGAAGATGAGTTTCACAAAAGGTTAGCTTACTTTTTCAGTTCATTCTTATAAAATTTGAACTGGCTTTTTGTCTGATCTGTATATTCAAGTTTTTTAGTTAAGTTTCCCCCCTATATTATTGTAATACTGTTTCGAATGGTCCAGAATTCTGATCGTAAACTCTAAAACTTGTAGCGTGTAGTTGACAGAAAACCTACTCTTAAAGAAGACATGGACAGGATTTGGTAAAGGCAGAATTTGGTCTCTAATTCTTAAAAAAGTTGAAAGATAACTTTTCAGGGTTGCCAAGTTTTCTGTTATCATCTTATGCAAATTATGAGGCCCAAATGGGGTTGCTTGAGAAAGTATCAATTTATCTGTCAATTCTCGCATTTTCAGCTCATCTCAGTATGCCATGTTTGTAGGCCATTCTACCTCTCTCTCACCCTCTCCTCTATCGGAATATTGACACATTTTTCTTGTCCAAATTCTGTGTGTAATGTGGTTCGACATCTACAGCTGTTTTAGATTTGTTACTAGCTTCCTGTGCTCAAATAGCATGTTATCCGGCAGGTGGTTTGAACCTACTGGATTAATATTGTTGTGGATTTTCGATGCTCTCTGCTGTTACTTACATTAGGTGAATGTTTTTCAGCTTGCGGCATGACAGACCTTTCACAGTGTCAATGGCTAATGCTGGGCCAAACACCAACGGTTCCCAATTTTTTATCACCACTGTTGCGACTCCGTGGCTAGACAACAAGCATACAGTATTTGGTAGGGTTGTGAAAGGAATGGATGTTGTTCAGGTAGGCATTGCATCATTCTTGTTAATGTTAGCTCCCTTTAATCCATGTGTATCTGACGGAAGTACCTGCTATTTATATTCATCACTGAGAAATTTCAAATGCTAACACACATCTTCCCTCAGCATTGAACCTCATTTATATACATCAGTTTTCCTTGAGATACTGAATCATTTCATTTACAGGCCATAGAGAAAGTCAAAACGAACAAGGGGGATAAACCGTATGAAGATGTAAAGATTCTAAACGTGACTGTTCCAAAGTCTTAGATGGGGCTGAGCATCACTTTCAGGCCGAGATGCTCTGTTGATCTCGACTTGAACCCGCATCAAGTGTGTAGAAGGCAGAAAATCTGAAGGAAACTTGCAGGAGAAGATCTTATCTGGAAATCAGCACAATTAGTTGAGATTACTCTGAAATTTTTGTTACTTTGCTAGGAATTTTTAGATTGAAAATTGACAGATTATAAGAGATGAGAAACACACATCGCGACTGTTCTTGGGAATTTGCATGGAGGATAACTTGCAGTGCTGACTACAGATTAATGAAATTATTGTGTTTGTATAATCAAAATACTCCGTTTCAATTTGAAAGGAAATTGAAAGGAAAGATGATCAGTTATCCTTTTCCGTTCCCCTATTGAGTTGATTTTATCTTAGGATGGCCAAAACGTTTTCGGGTTGTATATGTATAATGTATCAGCCCTTCTGGGCTCTGGCTTCTGCTATACACAGTCCAAATTTAGAAGGATGGTAGGAAAACCAAAACAGATCCACCACAGCAACTTTTAAAAACATTAGCACACAGCTCAAAAAATGAAGAGAAATTTTAGAAAACATCCGCAAACGAACAGAATATAAAGCTAATTATCAAAAGACTGTATAGCCAAAAACGTGATCCATGGCTGGATAAAGTGAAGTCTTTCTTGACGAGAATGGTATCTCTGCTCCTACCCAAAATTCAAGGTTCCTTACTAATCTATCTAGATAGAAACAAAAGTGGATGAACTTCTAAACGTAGCTACCAAGCATGTCCTTAGTCAAAGAGACTGAAGCCCAAATCCTGCAAAAGAAAAATCAGAAAGCAACTAACATTACTCATCATATCACAACAAAAACACACAACCGGGAAACAGCAGTGTGCTATGTTCTTAGAAAGCAAACAAGATAAAGTAATCTTACATCATCAGATTCATCTTTCTCTTCTACTTTCTCTTCTTTCTTTGCCTCAGCAGCAGGGGCAGAAGCAGCACCTCCTGCAGAAGCTGCAGCAGCAACTGGGACAGCAGCGCCACCGCCAGAAGGGACTGAAGCCAATTTCTCCCTGCCTGATGCAATCAATTCAGTGATATCTTTCCCTGCAACCTGAGACAACAGAAGCTCAATCTTGTCGTCTTCAGCATCAGCTCCAACTGAAAGATCCAACGGAAATCCATTAGTCAAGTGGAGGATGACTAGAGAGAACAAAAAGAAACAAAAAAAATACCAATGTATCGATAACCAACTGAACATAATCATAGCACTAAGGAACTAAAGAGAAACTAAAGCCTTTTCAGTTAAATAAACACAATTCTGAGTAGTTTAACTTGAAACTCCCCATTTAGAACCAAAGGCTTGAAGTATACCACATACATAGAACTTTCAGAGTCGTAGGTTAGTTCTCTAAAAGAAAATATTCCCCTCAGCATAAAAAGCGACGCAAATTAACAGTTCATCATCATTAAAGGGAAAGCTTACTGTTATGGCCGTACAATTTATAAAACAAGAAGCATAAACACCTCGGTTCCACGTTTTGCAACCCACATGCTTTCAAACTTCGGTCAACTATATACTATTTTCGAAGAAAAAAATTTCCAACCTAGGAACAACATTGGTGGCTGAAACCCATCATAGCCTACAATTCTCTAGTATTTGACAAAGTCTATTCATTCAGTAAATAAAACTCATCGGCTGATGAATGGGGCAACAATAGACGGAGAACGACAAATAAAAAAAAAAAAAAACGCAACAGCAACAAAAATAGGAAGAACCCATTCCTCAAAACAATCAATTCGGCTAACAAGTATGACCTAGAAGTACTAGACAAGCGGGAAATTGATAATATGCTGGAAATCAATAATATCAAATGTAAAAAACAAACATAGAGATGAACCTGAAGCAAGAATGCCCTTGATGTCCTCGGAGGAAGGAGAGGTGTTGCCTCCCAAAACGGCCAACAAAAAAGCACCGATAACCTTCATCCTGCAATCGTAAAACACCATAAACCATTACTAAAAACCAACACCAAAGAAACCAAAAGCAACAGATAAACAACGAAAAAAGCATTTTTTATCGTACTTCTGAGAACTTTTGGATATGGAACTGGAAAGAAGGGGCGCTCAAAGATTTTCCGACACCGCTGCTGCTGCTGCTGCAGAGTATAAACTGCTGCTCTAGGGTTTTTAACTTCTGAGTGGAAGAGAAGTATTTCTAGGGGCCATTTGGTATTTACGAAATGACAGCTTTAATCCTTTAAGTTTAAGAAATTGTACAATTTAGTACTTGATTTAATTAAGCAATCTCTCTCTCTCTCTCTACCCTTGAAACGGAGCGCGGGAAAATCACTTCTACATTGTCCCGCCTCTTTCCATCTCATCTTCTCTATCTTCAGTGTCAGCTCAGGTCTGCGAGGGTTTCCAAGATCCTATCTATATTCTTCCACTCCAGATCCGCTGGATTTGTTAGTTCGTTCTCTGAGTTACTTACTGGCTTAATTGCGACGGTTTCCATTTCTCGGTCGCCGGAGAGAAATTAGGTAAAATGAACGGCACCGATAATAGGCGGCGAGATCGCAGGGACACAAGGATTTCGAAGAAGCAGAAGCTCATTCTCAACGCCGAGGAGCAGCTTGAGTCAAAACTCGGCTATGATCTTTTCACCGAAGGGGATAAACGCCTTGGTTGGCTCCTCACTCTCGCATCTGTAAGTCCTTGATTAGAAGAGTGAATTGGTGTTTTCTTATCGATTTTTCTCCAACTGTTGGTCTTCAATTATACAATATTTATGGGTTCAATTGTTTCTTCCGTGCAGTCTTCTTGGGAGGATCAAGAGACTCATAAAGCGTACAGTTGCGTCGACCTCTATTTTGTTTGCCAGGTAATGGATAGTAGTAATTGATTGAATTTATTGTAGGAAAACCCGTTGTTAACTTGAATTGATTTTGGTGTGTTTTGATGTTAGGATGGTTCAACATTTAAAGCTAAGTATAAGTTTCGGCCATATTTTTATGCGGCCACAAAGGTAAGTGATCTTCGTTAGTCGTCATGATTATAAACTTGGTACATGCTCTTGGTTTTTATATGTTTTTGTTCTTTTTTGTGGTGCCACAATAGAGTAAAACGGAAATGGATGTAGAGGCGTATCTTAGAAGACGATATGAAGGTCAAATTGCAGACATTGAGATTGTGGAGAAAGAAGACCTTGATCTTGTAAGTTACTATGACGTTTTACTCGCTTGTATTCTCGAACTTTCTATCCGTGGCTTTATATTTTCACTTAAAAAGAAATTACTAGGTGTAGCTGTTTACATCCTTATACTTTAGTGTTGCATTACTGTTTTGATGCGTGTGATTTAATTAGTGATTAATTACTTTGAGTGACAATGCTGATGTTTGCAACATTGTGACGGATCAAAAAAGAAATAGTGTAATAATGGTTCTGAGCTAACATATCCAATTGAAATAAAATGTACCCTAGTCAGGCTAATTAGATAGTATTCTGTTTCATGTTTATTCAGATTTAGAAGACTCAATGAGGGTCAACATGCTGTTTTGAAAGAAAACCAAATATACCAGGCTGTAAATGACCACTACTTTGTCAACTGTTTTCTCTGGATTTTTTGGGAACTTTGAGCAAAAAGAGAGAATATTTGGTTGCTTAGATGCTTAACTTGACTTTAACTAGTGATTGTTAGTGCTTGCTATATGTTTTATAATTTCAATACGTGATTTCTTAACTGTATTTTGAATCTTGGTTCTCTTTACTGAGTGTGTTAGGTGCTCTTGAAGCATCTCTTTCATATCTTGCTCACGATCTAGCACGTTCACAGTCACATTTTAATATTTTTGCTTCCTTACAGTTTACATTTGTCTAGTGCTTCATCTTTAAGACGTGATACAGCTTTTATGCTTCATGAGTTTCTAGTTCATGAATTCATGATTTGAATTTAAGAACTTGTAGTCAATCTTGTTTGACTTAGAGTCCTTCTATGCGTGTATGCAGAAAAATCACCTCTCTGGCTTAAGCAAAAGTTATCTGAAGATATCTTTTGATACTGTTCAACAACTGATGAACGTCAAGAGTGACTTGATGCATATTGTGGAGAGAAACCAAGCAAAGTTTGATGCTTCAGAAGCATATGAATTTATCTTGACAGGAAAAAGGTAAAGAAGTTTTAAAATAAAATATCGTTTTATTTGATGGTCATGTCCTACCTCAATTCTTATCATTCTGTCCCTTATCACTCTAACTTTAAAGTGTGTTTCTTATTCTTCTCGCTTTTGTATTTGGAGGTTATTTCATATGCTTCTGTTTTTGTTTTTTTTTTTTTTTGATGTACTAGCATTTCCAGTGGTCCCCTTTCTTATCATAGTGGCCATCTAATCTTTTCAGCTTTGGAACATGCAGCGATCAAAGGCCTCAAGATTTTATAGATTGTATCACGGATCTTCGTGAATATGATGTCCCATATCATGTTCGCTTTGCCATTGACAATGGTGATTCCCTTTTCCAATAGTTTGATCACACTAATCTTATTAATTTTACAAAAGCTAGGTAGCTATGTACCATTGTGTTCTGATATGTGTTTTTGGTGGTTCCAGATGTAAGATGTGGACAGTGGTACGATGTTACTGTTTCCAGTTCAGGAATAGATCTGAAAAGGAGGACAGATCTCTTGCAACGTGCTGAAGTCCATGTTTGCGCTTTTGATATTGAAACCACAAAGCTCCCTCTGAAGTTTCCAGATGCTGAATATGATTCAATAATGATGATCTCTTACATGGTTGATGGACAGGGTTATCTGATCATAAACAGAGAGGTTCACATATATTTATAATAATTTTTTTTGTCCCATCCCTAGTCCTATTCATAGATTTTTGTTTTCAACAGAGTTTTTGTTTGACTGCATTTTGTTTCTAACATTTTTATGCGTCAAAATTATTTCCTTCAGATTTTACGTTTATTGTTCATATCTTTGGTAGTAGTTGTCTGCTGTTCCTTTAATAGGGAAATCAGACTTGAAAGAGGTCAAAAACTAAGCTCCCATCTCTAATTGTAGTGTTTAGAAAACACATAATAATGGAGTTTGGCATCAGGCAGTAAATCATTCTGATATATCAGGCTATGGAACTTATGGTGTGTTGTAGTTAAAACTGAACTGCCAGATAATTGATGATGACTAGGCCTGAGTTTAAGATTTGTTTGGTTCATCTTCACATTCTAACTTTTGATATTTATATATTTCTGGAAATAGTAAGAGTATCCAAGAAGTTGATGTCCAATTATTTGGCATTAAGTCTGTAAATAGATGAAGACAATAGAGGGTTCATCTGTATGACCTGTAATTTGCTTGTATATCCTTTGTAACTTAGTGACTTGGTACATTTGTGTATGAAAAATTGTACTCCAAAATGATAAACCACACCCATGTCTAAGTGTCTTGATGTATTTGTACCAAAGAATAAAGATATGATCCCAGAGACATGTTTTCTCTTTATCTGCTATTCCCTCAAAATCTTGTATGATCTCAAAATCTTTGGTGAGAGTGCATATCTACATTCAAATACATTGTTAAGCTTAACTTAGGGTTTCTTATATATTTGCAGTGTGTTGGGGAAGATATTGAAGATTTGGAGTATACTCCAAAACCTGAATTTGAAGGGTGCTTTAACGTTTCTAATGTGAAAAATGAGGTATTGCTATATCTTACTTATCTAGCCCCTGGAAAGCTTCCCTTAGAACTCTGGTATCATGACCTTCATTTGCCTTTACAGGTTGAGCTTCTTCAGCGATGGTTTTCTCATATGAGAGAAGTGAAGCCTGGAATCTATGTAACCTATAATGGCGACTTTTTTGACTGGCCATTCATCGAGCGTAGAGCTGCACATCATGGTTTCAAAATGAGTGACGTATGCATTCCGTGCAGTTGGTTCCCCTTTATATTATTTTTCCATATGTTTTAAACTTTTTGATTTGCTGGGCTTCTTTCAAATTGTAGAAATATTTTATGCCTTTTGAAGCATAAGATATAGAAGAACTGGAAAGAAATTTCTTGCATAAATCCTCTTTATTTCCCTATAGTTTACCCCTAAATATCACCTTCTCTTTGGGTAATAAAGCTGTCCCTTACTAAGACTGACCACCTTTTACCTGATTATATTTGGAAATACTAAATTGAGTCTAAAATTGTTGCTAGAGGGCCATTGGTTTGCTTTTCAAATGAACTAGAGTTTTCAATGGTTTGTTATTGAAGGATGCCAAAGCCTTCATCTGTACACTTAGTTTTTGGAAGCAATTGGTTTCTCTTTGATTGTTACCCGGACTCGGGTACGATGCGTCGTACCTGGTGTTGGGATCTAAGTGTTGGACTTGTCAAAATTTTCGAAAGGATGGGCATTTTCCACCGAAGTGCCTTATCCGACACTGATACCCTTACCAGTGTCATGTCGTGTTGACACAGGTAATCTTCCCCAAAGTGGATAGTCCGGGTATCATACCGTGTTGGCCCTTTCGGTGATGCATCTGTTATTTGGTACTACAAGTTCTTTGTATTACTGTGTTGCCTGACACAGCAATGAGGTGGCTATCTGATTAGGTACTTCGATTAAAAGCTGAAACATTGGACCTGAAAAAGTTTTAGGATGGTTTCCTGAAGCAGGGGCTATTAATATTTTAGATTCAAATCATTTTGTGGACGTAACTTTTGATTCTTGAGTCGTATTTCAGCTAAGTTCGTTCCTCATACTTGCTGAGCTTGTGAAACATAGGGGCCTTTCTACCTAAAAAAAGTAACATCAGGGCATGTTATCCTGGCTTAAAATTTTGGTGAACTTGAATGTCTAGTTTTGATGCACAAGTTCAGGATGCTTTCATTTGTTTATCTGGTCTCTCTTTATGTTAAACTGCAGGAGCTTGGATTTCAGTGTGACAAGAACCAAGGCGAATGCCGATCCAAATTTGCCTGTCATTTGGATTGTTTTGCATGGGTTAAACGTGATAGTTATCTCCCACAAGGAAGCCATGGCTTAAAGGTGCTGATTGTTTCTTATTTCCTTGATGTCACTATATTACTACTCCTGTGATGTTTTTCCATTGTTTTCTTTTTCTTTTTCGACAAAATAGTTTTCTCCTGCTTTCCAGTGATGAATGGCAAAGCACATGTTTTCTTATTGTTGCATCAGTATTAGGTTTCATTCTGAAGTTATTTTTCAACTGGGAGGAAGTCATATCACACAAATCATGTGCACTACTGGCTGAATGTAAATGTCACAGTTCACACCATTTGTGGACAAAAAACTTATCATCATTCGTAAGCCTATCTTCTATTTTATGCATCCATGTATGAAGCTATACATGTCAACTCTTTCTGAAAGTCAATGAACTACATCAATCTCAATTATAACAGTAATTCTCATGATTAATTCAACAGTACATGCCGTTTATTCAATTATTTTCTTTCTATGTGCTTGTCTTCTAGTCAAGGCTACTAATGTAGTTCTACATTCATGTATGTTTGTGTGTATAAGTAAATAAATCTTACCTTTTCTACGACAAGCTTGTTCTGGTCTAGTTCTGTCTCATTGTCATTTTATTATTTGATTTTTTTTTTTTGAGATAATTATATTACTAACCTGCTTCTCGCAATGCAGGCTGTTACAAAGGCAAAGTTGGGTTATGATCCCCTTGAAGTAAATCCTGAGGATATGGTTCGGTTTGCAATGGAGAGACCCCAGGTAAGAGTGCCTCAGTATCTAGTTCCATTTTAAAATTTCATTTACTCTGGAAAGTTGAGCATCCATCTCTTGGTAGAATGCTATAGATCAAGTGAATTACTTTTAACAAGCATTTCAAACTAAGAAGAGAGACGTAAGATGGGATTTAAAGGCCAGCTCCACACATGCTCTTTTAACATTTTGGTGGCATTGTCATTTTATTGTTCGGATTCATTTTTGTATAATTGATCATTTCCAATAGCATTTCAGAAGTTGTCCTCACATGGTACACTTGTTTGATTTATCAATTTTGGGTGAAGATGCTGAAATGCCCAATTGTCTTACATAGTCTCGTGCTGTTATCTTTTCACTTTGCTTGGAGTACTACATTGTTTTCATTTTAATGACTCTTGTATTTCTTTTTGGCTTTATTTGAAACAACCTTTCAGATGATGGCATCCTATTCTGTTTCTGATGCTGTGGCGACCTACTATTTGTATATGACTTATGTTCATCCTTTCATTTTCTCTCTGGCAACCATCATACCCATGCCTCCCGATGAAGTTTTGCGCAAAGGAAGTGGAACTTTATGTGAAATGCTTCTTATGGTCCAGGTGGGTGAAGCTCTTGGTGAATGTGTAGCTTATTTCGATCTCTAGCGGATTGGAACTTCCCTGTGTTGCCTGTCAAATTATTGCTTTGACCTCTCTCTCTCTCTCTCTGCTCTTCTTCTTATGGATACTTTTCATTGCAATTTTTGGTCTCTTCTTTTGCAGGCTTATACAGCTAACGTTATATGTCCAAATAAACACCAATCAGATCCTGAAAAGTTTTACAATAATCGTCTCTTGGAGAGCGAGACATATATTGGCGGACATGTTGAATGCTTGGAAAGTGGCGTTTTCAGATCTGATCTACCAACAAGCTTTAAACTTGATCCATCTGCCTATGAGGTTATTATTCCAGTATCTTGTCTAATCAACATTCTATCTGGCTCCTTATTTCTTGTTACCTTCAAACTGATGATTAGATCATTCAGTTATCTGATCATCTCATGATTAGAGAACGGCTGCTCTCTATTTAGTATCCCAGTTAAACACTGAAGGTTATATCTTAGTATAGTCGTGAGATATCTAAAGCACTGGGAAAGATAACATTCGGAGAGTATAAAGTGCTTCTTAATTCATCTCAACTTATTTCCTGAAAATCTTTCTAGAGAATGTATGTTTAAATATGCCACACAACAAGTTGCTTCTGATAAGTTCCAGAGAGGCCGATCATTCTTTCCCCCCCTCCTTTCTGTTTTCTTGTTTCCAAACATATATGTTTTTTGTTGAATGTTATCCTTGTCTGCAGCAACTTATTGACAACCTTGATCGCGATCTTCAATATGCCATCAAAGTAGAAGGAAAGATGGACTTGGAAACAGTTTCAAACTATGATGAAGTAAAAGTTGCAATCATTGAAAAGGTAAAGATGTCAAAGTCTTTTCCATTTGTTGAGTGATACATTCAAGAATTCTTGAAAGTTTCTTCTGTGTATTCATGTGAAACTTTATTCCTCACTTTTTCACGGAGTATTATGCCAAACTTTTTGTCACTTTACTCGTGGGAAATCACCCTATCTATTGTTCTATATAAATAATATGTTATCTTACTACAAAATCGGCCATGGATTATTTTCGATTCACATGCTAAGAGTTTGCACTGGAAGTTTTCATTGACGATAATCAATACAGTTCTTTATTTACATCCTATAATAGTTTCTATAATATGTATTCATGTTTCTCATGGAACTCTGCAGCTTAAAATGTTACGCGATGACCCTGTACGTGAAGAATGTCCCCTTATCTACCATCTTGACGTTGCTGCCATGTACCCAAATATTATATTGACAAATAGGCTTCAGGTATGCATCTTTCAGGAAATATTTGCATTTAGTTAGGGAACCAGAAGCTGTTTCAGATTCTACATACTGTTGGGCAGGCAACGTTGGTGTTGACAGCTTGTTGTTTTTCTTTCTTTTAAATGGCGATTGATCCACATTATGAATACCACTAAATCTATAAGATGAAATTGTTTCAATGAGAAATACGAATAATTCCTTGTTTTCTTAGCTAGTTGGTGGTATTCAGTAATATGACCTACCATTCTTAGGCTTGAGTGGTGATAAATGGCCATGTAACACATCCTGGGAAACAACATTTTCTTGTATTTTCATTATTCCCTCTGAATGTTAGTAAGTATCCTTTTGGTCATGCTGCCCAGTAATAATTGCCAGAGCTAGATGAACCATAAGAAAGATGCTACTTATGCAGCTCTAATCATCTATCACCTTTCTTGTTTATCCTTTTCCGACCAATATATCCTCCATCTCTCTTTAATTTACTTATCTTGATGAGGCCTCCTTGATTCTTGAGTTATTAATCTGGTTGACAGAGGTCAACTTACAGTATCTATTGGTCACCTTACTATGGTTGCTATTTATATTTGAATACTAGCCTCCGTCGATTGTCACGGATGAAATTTGCACTGCATGTGACTTCAATCGTCCAGGAAAGAATTGTTTGCGTAAGCTTGAATGGGTTTGGCGCGGGGAGACTTACATGGCAAAGCGAAGGTTCTCTTTACTTTCTTCCTATGTGAACACTTGCTTAATGAGCTTGCCATTCTTTGTTTTCTTTCTCATATCATCCCCAAATGCAGTGATTACCATCATCTTAAGAGGCAGCTTGAGTCAGAGCTTGTTGAAGGTGCAGATGGTCAGTTAGGAAAATCTTTCCTTGATTTGCCTAAAGCTGAGCAGCAATCAAAACTCAAAGACCGTTTAAAGAAATATTGCCAAAAGGTTCTTTTGCTGCATGTTTTGCCTTTGGCAAAATATTCATGTTTGGAAATTGATACTGAATTTGTTTCTTAATAGGCGTACAAGAGAGTTCTTGACAAACCAGTTACAGAACTTCGAGAAGCAGGAATTTGCATGCGGGAAAATTCTTTCTACGTCGACACTGTCCGTAGGTTAGCTGTTCTCTCTTTCACTGCAAGCATTCTAGTATCAAGGGTCTTTTGGCTGCTTTGAAAAAGAGTTTTGTGAGCGCTATTAGTCTTTCAATCAAAACTTGGATACTCTCTCCTAATAACTTTATCTTAATGAAGTTTTCGAGATAGGAGATATGAATACAAAGGACTTAATAAAGTCTGGAAGGGAAAGTTTTCAGAAGCTAAAGCTAGTGGAAATCCTATAAAGATTCAGGAAGCCCAGGTACCTCTCTCTCTCTCTCTCTCTCTCTCTCTCTCTCTCTCTCTCTCTCTCTCTCTCTCTCTCTCTCTCTCTGTGTGTATTGGGTTAGTTTATTTGAAATCATTTTACTGCTAACATTAGGCGCAACTAATATTTTTCCCTTTCTCCCTGACTTCTACAGGATATGGTAGTTCTTTATGATTCTTTGCAACTGGCTCACAAGTGTATCCTCAACTCCTTCTATGGATATGTTATGCGGAAGTATGAAACACTGACTTAAGTTTAGATTACTTGATTAACTGACCGTATTGGATATGTTATTCACCAATTAATTCCTTTGCAGAGGGGCGAGATGGTATTCGATGGAAATGGCTGGAGTCGTTACTTATACAGGAGCAAAAATAATCCAGAACGCTAGATTGCTGATTGAGCGAATTGGAAGGCCCCTTGAACTAGACACTGATGGAATTTGGTGTGCATTGCCTGGGTCGTTTCCCGAGAATTTCACCTTTAAAATAAAGTATGGGTTTGAGTAATTGTTATTTTCTTTTATTTGACTAGTGCTTAGTCAATTAAGCAATTATTTTCTGTTTCATTTTGCTCTATATTGTGATTGCATGGAAAGGCTGTCTTTCCTGTTTCCTGTTGTTTGTGATCCGGACAAAAAAACAATATAATGGAATATTTTATTGCAGAGACTCTCAGAAGAAGCTTACAATCTCTTATCCATGTGTTATGCTTAATGTTGATGTAGCGAGAAACAATACAAATGACCAATATCAGGTGAGACAGTAACGTGCTTGAGTGTCTATCATTTAAAGTAAAAGAAGCTATGTAACGAACTGGGAATTGAGGCAAAGCTGTTTTTGTTGATCTTTATAATTTCAGACTCTCAAAGATCCTGTCAATAAGACATACAATACGCACAGTGAATGCTCTATTGAGTTTGAAGTGGATGGACCCTATAAGGTGCGTTGTTGGAACTTCATCTTTGAAAGCTGACACTAGATAATGATTTTAATGTAGTTTAGTTGTATTCTTCTTTGTAACATTTTGGATGCTGTCAGGCCATGATTCTTCCGGCTTCCAAAGAAGAAGGCATCTTAATCAAAAAGCGATATGCAGTCTTTAATGATGATGGGACCCTGGCAGAGTTGAAAGGTTTTGAGATCAAACGACGAGGGGAACTCAAGCTCATCAAAGTTTTTCAGGTAGCCTCCTCAACATGTGAAAATGCCTTTTCTGTTTTTGTTTCTTGAAGAAGATGAACTTTCAAGAATATCCTACATGTAGGCTCTTTATGGATGCATATGATATGTCATTTTTTTTTCAAAAATTCATTTCACCGTTTCTTCTTTTTACTTTTGGTGATGTTAAGAGTGAAAGGAATGACTAGTACTGTCCTTAATTCACCTTGTCGAGATTATCTTTTCTCCACTTGGTTAATTTGAGCTTTCAGTGCTAGATTTCGAGTAGTGATTCTTAATTCGCCTCATGGAGATAATTCTTCCTCTGCTTGGTTATTCTGAGTTTCCAGTGGTAGATTCCACAAGTATATTTAATAGCCGTATGATGGTAGTTTGGAGGTTTATGAGATTCCCATTTCCCGATTTGGGAAGACTGAAGTTATTAGTTGTGTTTGTCATGGAGAAATTGAGAAAGGTGCATTTTGCAGCACATGTAGATAAACACAATTTGTTTTCCCTTGTCCATTTTGGTGGTGTATCTTGAGCTTGAACTGTATTTTTGTTCCAATATCCAAAATATATATAGAATGCGATTGTCAAATACTTAAATTCCTTTGAACCTAAATTTAAAATTTAAATGGACAAACACATCACTAATTGGGTGTAAAACTCTCTATTCTAGCACTTCCTGTCCTATTAGTGAAATATAGCTGTTTTTTTGTTGCCATACAGGAAATTTAGGGTTACCATATTGATTATCATTCTAGCAAAATGGATCCCACTGGCTAAATCTCAAATAATTGGTCTGAAGTGGTGGGTAGTTGTTTATTTGAATATTAGTGAATTTCCTTTTCTAGCCTTGGTGAAATGCTACGAGTCCACCTCTTCCCTGGAATTTATCTTTGTGAAAATAAATGCTCAGCACAATACTTTAGAAGTCTTATGTTCTCAATTTTTGTGATCTGAACATTTGCAGGCTGAACTCTTTGACAAATTTCTTCATGGTTCAACCTTAGAGGAATGCTACTCAGCTGTGGCTTCTGTTGCGAATCGTTGGCTTGATCTTCTAGATGTATGCCCTAAGACTCATTCTCATATACGCTTGAACTTATTTGATTCAGTGCTTTTAATATTTTCTTACTTTCTTAGAATCAAGGAAAAGATGTTGCAGATAGTGAACTGCTGGATTACATTTCAGAATCAAGTACTATGAGCAAATCCTTAGCAGAATATGGAGAACAGAAGTCTTGTGCTGTAACCACGGCAAAACGTCTTGCTGATTTTCTTGGAGATACAATGGTTAAAGACAAAGGATTACGTTGCCAGTATATTGTTGCTTGTGAGCCAAAGGTATGCATGTCTTTGAACTTTGGATGTGTGCACTGTTTTCAGTTATAAATTTTTTGCTGCATTGTTTGTGCATAATGTGCAGAAATCTGTCCTGGGTGGATTTGGGGCTTTTGGAGCTAAACCTTTTCCATGCTAATGTGTATTTCAAAAGAGTGATGATAAACCCAGTGAAAGGTCACAAGGAAATGAGATAGTAATAACAGGACAATCACCAAATAACGCCCCTAATATAGGTCAGCGTAGTAAAGGTGTTATGTCTTTTTACATATGACACATCATTTACTATCCATGTTTTAGCAAAATAAGTTGCACATGTTATGTAATCAACATGCATGCTCAATTTCCCACCACGCCAAAACATGAAAGAACCTACTGAGTCAAAGTTTTTGTGCCTCTAACTCTGCCCCTTGAGATGAGTTCTTATGATCTGGAGTTTGGAGTTAACAGATTACTGTTTTATGGAATTTGGAAGGATGTTAGATTGTTTTCCTTATTGTTTTCTTGTACTTTTTTGAAAAAAAAGAATTAATTGTCTTCTTCTACTTTTATCGCCATTTACTATAATTTTGATGGAAAATGGAAGATAGTGTGTCATTTGGCCATGTCATTATGATGAGATATCTTAATTTTGCTCAATGTTTTGAGCAGGGAACCCCTGTAAGCGAGCGTGCTGTCCCTGTAGCTATTTTTGAAACTGAACCTGGTAAAGATACGCCTTCCCTGGTTTACGTTATATTTTACATTGAGCTAACTGATGGTGTTCTTATCTCGTGGCTGGTCAGAGATTATGAAGTTCTATGTGAAAAAGTGGTGCAAAGTATCGTCAGATGGTGGCATACGTTCCATTATTGACTGGTCCTATTACAAACAGCGGCTTAGTTCTGCAATTCAGAAAACCATAACTATTCCAGCTGCTATGCAAAAGGTGCATATGAATGATTCTTTTAGCTGAAATACTAGGATTATATTGTTTCTTTATTTTATTTTTATTCACTCAAGTTTCTGATGCCAAAACAAATGAGCAGGTTGCAAATCCTGTCCCAAGGGTTACTCATCCTGACTGGCTTGATAAGAAGGTTCGTGAGAAAGAGGACAAATATCGTCAAAGGAAATTGGTTGATATCTTCAGTTCGCGTAGCAAAACAGATGGTGCAAAAGCAATAAATGATGGCAGCACCAATAAACAGGGATCAGATGAACACACTACTGCTGATCTGGAGGATTTAGGGTATAATGGTAAAACGTTTACTGGTGGACCTAGACCCATTGTTCGCTGCTATAAAGCTAATGGTGAGCAGCATCAGGCTACAACAACTAGTAAAATGGATTGTTGTGCACGGCAAAGTGATGGCCAGGAAGATGGCAAATCTTCTCAAGGAATTGAAAGCATTGACAGGAATGTAAATTATGAGGGATGGCTGGAACTGACGAAAAGAAAATGGAAAGAAACACTTGAGAAAAGGAAGCGGCAGAGGTAAAGTTTTCCTTTGTTTGGAACATAGATCATATAATCTCTTTACCTGAAATGTTACTTATGTGATTTATCTTTGACATCTTCAAACACTCTGGACTGGGGAAGAAACATTTCAGTGCTCTGTTTCCGAGTTCAAGATGTTTCAGAGTTCAAGCATTTCTATCTTACTTTTAACTAATCTGGGTTGCAGAACTTAGTGCTCTGCTATTGATCTTATTATAGGACGAATAATGCCTGTGTCCTTCCATCTGTTCTAAACTTTTTATTGAAGACTGTCTGCTTGTCTATGGCTGTTTATTTACGTAAAAGTTTAATTTGAAGAATGTCCTTGAAGTTTTTCTACCTTTGTGGAGGTTTTAATTGTCGCATGTTATTTGTTCTGTCAACCCTCATAACCGAATGATCCTCCATTCCTGGTTCATCAATGAGGTGTTTATCCTCATGGATGGTGGCGATATGTGTTGAGCTTAATTTGAGACTACAGTATCTGTATGCTTTTATCATGATGTAAGTGAATTTTCCAAATGGCATCATAGTATTCAATTCGGGAATTACTGTTTTAGGATGAACGCAGCAAATGCATCAAGTTTTATGAGTAGTATTGATGAATCTCCTGGTCTCATATTCAAACACCGGAAGGCCAGAGGTCGAGTTGGGGTCAACTCTTATTTTGAGAATCATCAAATGGCTCTTACTCGCAGCCACTGGCAGGTTAATTTCATTTCCACGTTTTTAAGCAGTGATTTAATGTATGCCACTAAATTCTGTTTTTTTTGTTCAGATAATTCAGCTTCTACCAAGTTCACAGCCTGGACAATTTTTGGCTTGGATAGTGGTGGAAGGAATCATGCGTAAGGTTCCTATTATTGTTCCTAGGGTATTTTATCTGAACTCTAAAGCTCCAGTAACAGAAGAATTTCCTGGAAGGCGTGTCAACAAAGTTCTTCCCCATGGACACATTAGCTACAATCTAATCGAGGTACAATTTCTAGTGTTCTAAAAGGCTCAACCTAGAATATTTTTTTGAAGGCTATTCATTTTTCATTTTTGTCATATCTGAAGATCATCATTGAAGAAGACCAGTTTAAGGAAGAGAGCAAGAAGCTAGCAGCCCACCTAGCAGATCCTGAAGTGGAGGTCAGAATGCCATCTGTTTTAGTTGTCTATAACTAACAAGAGTAAAACTGCTACCTGAAAATTTTTTACTAAAATTTAACCTTTGGATCTAATTAATTATTATCTTAAGAAAGTTAGTTGTCCTTTCTTGTGGTGGTTGCAGAGCATAAGAATGAAATATAGAAAAGGATAAGCTATATCTTAGATCAATTTGGTTGATCTTGGCCAGTGCCATTGAATTTTTATCACTGCAGTAGCAATTTGATTTTTTTGAATGGTTGTGAAATTTTTTTTCTAATCATTCAGCGCAACTTACTCTTCAAAATTTTACAGGGAATTTATGAAACTAGGGTCCCCTTGGAGTTTAATGCTATCCTTCAGCTTGGCTGTGTCTGCAAAGTAGATAAAAAAGCTAAAAAACGAAGTGACCAAGATAGCTGGACTCTGAATGAGCTGCATATGAAAACAACAACTGAATGCGCATATCTGGAACAGTCATTGTCCTTCTTTTATCTTTATCACAGGTAAGATGCTGCCAGTGCAGCGAAAGCAAAACGATCTTCAGCTTTAGCAATATTTAACCATGGAACTTTTGCTTAACAGGATGCCTGAAACATAGCATCTAGTACCAAATACCAGGGGAAAGCTAATATGATCGTTAGCGAGATAATAAAGTTAAATTTTATATCAGTTTGTAGCTTTGTTGGATTGGTGCTCATTGCCTTTTCTTTTGCATTCTCTTCATTGTTATCATTATCTACAAAAAACCGGCTGGCTCATTCTGATTCCTAATTGGTTGAAAACTACCGAGTATATATTTTCCGAAGTTCAATCACAAAGTTATGATGGTTTTTATGAATATTGGTTGAAAACTGCCCTGCAGATATGTTCCATTTTAGTAATTGTGTTCTTTATATATTTTCATTGCTAGATTTTTGGGACTGTTCAGGACTACATATTATGTTTCAAAGTTTAATCTTATTCTCTTATTTGCTCATTACATCTGCATTTGACATATTGATACATTGTACTTATCTTCTGATGATTCCTTTCAGTATGTCAGAGTCACGAGCAATATATGTTGGGTACTTCCCTGCATCCAGATCGATATCTGTTCTGGTGGTTAATCCCTTCCAAAATAAAGAATTATCACCCCAAATTCTGGAAAGACTATTTCGTGAAGCTTGTTTGACATTGGATACGCAATCTATTAATGCTACTGAAGCAATGAATGTCAAGGTGATCATCTTCTCATTTACTACTAAATCTAATCTCTTTATTCTTTACACTGAAGAATCCTTGATACTTGCGATCTTGTAGGTAGAGTATGTTGCGCAGATGAAGGAAGCAGAAAAGAACATGCAAAGAATGATAAATGAGTTCAGGTCTTTTTTTTCACTCTTTTCCTTTCATGTTTGTCTCAAGTATCTTTCTTGTCAACTCTTGTTGGTTATACACTCTTTTACAATGGTCTGATTTCCGGAATAAAACATACGAAGCCGAGCTTGCAGTTTGTGATGCATCTTGTAAAAGTTCAGTGTGGGGTTCTTTTTGGAGAAATCTTGGTTTTATAGTTTTCAAGGTGACGTACAAACCATACCAGGCTCAAAATCAAACGCTTCATAGCTTTTATAATAAACTAGTAATCAGGAGGAACACCATTTGTGAGCCTAACCCTGAGACAAATTTTACTGGTGGTTTATCTGTGTGTTTCAAAGGTCTTAACTTGTCTCCTTAACCAGCTATGTAGTTTAAGTTTAATACGATTCCAATAGAACTTTGAGGTTGTCTATGTTCCTGACATGGCCCTTTTCTGAATTTTGTTAGACACGAATAATCATGTATTAGCATGGTGTTTTCTTGAGCCTAATCCAAACAGAAAAAACCCCTCCAACATTGACTGAACTATTGTCACTCAAACCAAATCAATTCTGAGCAGAGAGATGGAAAATATAAAGGATTGCTATAAAGCCTTCAATTTTGATCTGAATGGGGCCCTAGAAAATGCTTCATGTTTTTTGTTTAATTGATTTATTGACTCGTTTAAAAATATGCTCGTCTCTTTCTGGTTGAAGGTCAAACTTGTTTGGTGATTCATTTATGCTATTATTCTACTCCTTTAATATTTGTGGGTTGTGTTGCTGCGTTAATTGACAGAGATCGGCTTCACGGGCCTGTAGTTGCTGTGCTAGAGTGCCCTAATGTCCAATTTCTGAAGTCTAGCATACGAGCATTAGAAGATTTCCCATGCGTTAACATTACTTCCAATGCTCGGGATAGTCAGTATCAGGTATTCCAGTTCAGCCAACTTTTGCTCTGGTTTCGTTCTGTCTTATTTTTGTTTGTTGGGTTTCATACGGAGATGGATTGTGATGCTTCTTTCTTGTAGGCTCTTGGTTGGCAAATAGTAGCTGCGAAAATTGGGATGCAACGATGTGCTGCATCTTCTCAGTGGTTGAGGGAGAGGATTTCTCTTGCACGTTATGCGCATGTATAATTTTCTATATTTGTGTAATGCATTTTGGCTAACTGTATTAATCTTTATCTAAGAGTGAGTATTGACATGATCAGGTTCCACTTGGAAATTTTGAAGTTGATTGGCTCCTACAGACAGCAGACATCTTCTTCTCCAGAGCTTTACATGATCAACAACAGGTTTCTCAGGCTTTGGCTGTTTCATTTATCGTATTCTTTAATTCTGCATCTGATAAATCTGGTTTAGTGCTTTCAGCTCTTTTGATGCTAATGTGGTATGATAGTGAAATATCTATGTTCTTGATGTCTCTGTTTCATGAATTGGATGGATTAAAGATATGTACTGTTGTTATCTCTTAGGTTCTCTGGATATCTGATAATGGGATCCCAGATCTTGGTGGTGCAAAGGAAGAAATGGCAGCTTTCATTGATGAAGTCAGTTCCCTAGAAATTCAATCCAAACATCATTGCATTTTTATCTTCTTTTTTTTTTTTTGGGCGGGGGTGGCTTTAAGGAGAAAAGAAACTCGTTTACTTCTTCCTTATGTATTGCATTTGTTGTGACTAGTCTAGGCTAATCCAATTTTTTGCACTTTTATTTGCTGACTGTTGGCATTCATTAATGTAGGTCAATCAGCCTGTTCTTAACTACCCTGGTGCGTATAGGAAAATTACCGCGGAGCTTAAGGTCCAAATTATCTCTGATTATCCATTTCTTTTCCTATTATAATCTTTACTGTAGATGTTAATTGTTGCTCTCTTTTAGGTTCATCATCTTGCTGTTAATGCTCTTCTTAAAAGCAACCAAGTGAATGAGATAGAAGGAGGTACTCTGTTTGGATTGGATCAGGATCTGAATCCGGCTAACAAACTTTCAGATGAGCAATATTGCTTCGATGAGGTGACTTCGTGTGCACCAGCATTTCGTGTGCTCAAGCAGTTGATCCAAAGATGTCTTTCAGATGCAGTTACATCCGGCAATCTGTTTGCTGATGCAGTATTGCAAAATTTGTACCGGTGGCTTTGCAGGTTTATGTCTTGTTGAAAAGGAGGTGTTATCTTGCTTTTGGCTTTCATGATTTCTAAGGCTCTTTTTTATTTATTCTGCAGCCCGAAGTCCAAACTGCATGACCCGGCTCTTTACAGTATGCTACATAAGGTAATCACTCCTTTTGGTTGTTATATTATGCAAAACATTATTCCTGGATATTCAATAATGGATTTTTGACTTGATGCAATTAAGGGCTATCTTATGCAAAAGATTACTTCTAGAGATTCGATAATGGATTCTTTCAATATTTGATCTTTTTGTCCAGCTCACTCTTTTACTGTCGAGCTTTTCCAAAGCATTTCATGAAAAGCTTTACATTAGAGATTGTCTGAGTCCACTAATTACGTTATAACATCATAAAATGTTACTTAAAAAAGCTGAGGCCCTTTCTTTATTTTATTCTTCACTTGGAATATTGGATGAGTGTTTAAGTCCGTGCGTTATGAATCAGGTTATGCAGAAGGTGTTCGCATTGCTGATGGCTGAGTTCCGTAAACTGGGTGCAACAATTATATTCGCTAGTTTCTCGAAAGTTATTATCGACACCGGGAAGGCGGACATGATTGCAGCCCAAGCTTACTGCGATAGTCTGGTTAAGACTCTCCAGACTAGGTTGGTCTCCTAGCATTCCTTCTCATATTCTAAACATGGTGATGCTATTTGATTCCTCTTCTCTTTTAATATGTAATTTGATTTTCAATTTGCAGAGACTTATTTGAATGGATTGAGATTGAGCCTGTGCAGTTCTGGCATTCCTTCCTTTTCATGGATCAGGTAGTCCACTGCTTTTCACAACGCAGAATTATCATAATTGTTAATTGTTTTTTCATCTCTCCCTCCCTTTTTTTGTTTGGTCATCCTCTTCTGCAACACCACTATTTTTCTTCAAACTGAAAATGTTTCCTCATCTTGCTTATTTCTGTTTTTCGGATTTTTTTGTCAAACACTATCTCATTAATTTATACAACTGATGAACTGAGTCAATCTTACTGTTTCTATCTTGTTGGGTTGGCGTTATGTTTATGATTTTGTGCAACATGGGTAATAGTCTGTAGAAGATACTGAAAAGTCCACAGTGGAACAAACTATGAACTAGTTGAAATTTATGTAGCCTTCCAGGGATTTCGAATATTCCTTTTTTTTTAGTTACAGGACACTCTGAAGGAACATGAAAGGAAATTTGTATGGTCTAACTGTAATTATTTATTAAGGAACAGTCGTACATCTTGCATCATATACTGATACATTCTTATTCCTTCACATGTGTTTTGAGATGCTCCTACCCCGAAACTAAATTGATAAAGTAATGCAAGTTGATTGTTTCTGTGTCGTCACACTTGACTCCAACTAAATTTATTTGTTTTTCTGTTTTTTTTTTTAATTCTGTTTCTAATCTGTGCTGTTGTAGTTCAATTATGGTGGAATTCAAGCAAAATTTCAAGATGGATCTTTGGCTGACAAAGTAAGACCCAGTTGTGAAAGCATGCACTTGGAATCTGGAGTGGAAATTGTGTCAAGCTGGAACATTGCTGAAAACTTATCGAAGTTGACTCAGGTTTTCTATCTAATTATATCTTCCAAAATGTTTAGCATAGTGAAAGTCACTAAAAGTTCTGATCTTGATGCCATCATCCTGATTCTCTGTACTTTTGTGTCTCAAAGGACCACTTCATCTTGATTGTCTCCGAATTTATGTATATACCTTGGAAATTTGCGCAAGAGCAAGTTGCGAAGCGAGTTTGTTTAGGTGATGGTGACTTGTGCACTCCATCAATCACTGCTGCTGTTGCTGAAACTTTCGAACAGCAGATGACAGAAGATTTAAAGACGAAGGTACTGTGGTAATGTTAAATCGATGAGTCCAATTTCTGTATTTTACTCCCTAGGATACGAGATTAACTTTTGCTGATTTGCATCTTACAGATCAGATCATACTTCACAGACAAGCTTCTGAAAATCGTTTGTGATCCCAGCCTTCATGTGAAAGGAAAGACCCAGGAAACCAGGAACATCCAAACTGGGAATTTGCGGCCTTCAGAGAATGTGCATCTTGGCGACCCTGCATTAGAGTTCATTAAGTATGTGTCAGCAGTTTTGGCTCTTGACAAAAATGTTCAGCATGAGGTTCTGGTAAGCATATTTCCTAGTGCCCTGACCATCAAAGTAAAAGTTAACGGTAGCATGTTTTGTATTTGATCATTGTTTTTCTGCAGATCATGAGAAAGAATCTGCTAAAATTTGTCCGCGTACGGGAATTCGCACCTGAGGCTGAATTTAATCACCATTCTCCATCCTTTACTCTACCCAATGTCATTTGCAGGTATTACAATATACTAACGGGCATATTGATTATGGGATTTAAGAAGAGTCTACATCATGTACCACGGTCATGACTAGCGAATATCAGTACTTTAGAAATGCATGATAAATTACTTTTCTTTCTGGTTCTTTTCAGCACATTTTTTCTTGTCAAGAGATCATCTATACTCAACTGTTCTGGTACTGCTCCTGTAGATCATTCTTGATAAGTCTTAGAGGCAATGCAGTGAGGTTTTTGTAGTTTGCCGACTCCTTTACCTAGATTCTCAAGATATGTCAAAAAGAATTTTGGACCTTCCACTGATGTCAAGTTGGGAAGTACAAGTATAATTCCTTAGTAACAACTTTATTAAGTTTGACCATATCAAACATGGATTTGGAATTTTTTTTTGAAACGGGTTTTCGTCAAATGCTTCTTAATGATAAACAGTGGGGTCCTTTTCTTTTCATGACATTTGGAGCATTAGGAGCAAAGGTAAGTTGTATCGCTAGCATGGCTATAGGCTTGTCAAGGCAGTTTGCGTTGTAGAGTTATCAATTTGTGTTTGTGAATAACGAGGCAGTGCATTGAGGTTTTTGTTCTAAAATAAGTCTTTGCAATTGCGGAAGGTTCTGGATCTTATTTGCTTACATTCTATAAGGAGTTGCATGCATGGAATGTTTGGCTGATGTTATGCTTATGTTTATCATTGTAATTTGGGAACTGTACTTGTCCCGCGTGGACGATGCAATTGGATTCTCATATCCGGTTTTTCATGTTACAGCTATTGCAACGACTGTAGAGATTTAGACTTGTGCCGGGACAGAAATTTACTGTCTCAAGAATGGCTTTGCGCTGTACCTCAGTGTGGGCAACCATATGATCGTGAGCTCATGGAGAACTCTCTTCTACAGATTGTACGGCAGAGAGAGAGACTTTACCATCTGCAGGATTTAGTATGCCTCAAATGCAACCAGGTTAAAGCTGCACATCTAGCTGAGCATTGTTCATGTGCTGGATCATTTAAGTGCAGAGAAGAAGCATCTGAGTTTCGAAACAAAATGCAAGTATTTCACAACATAGCTCAAATTCAGAATTTCCGGCTTCTACATGAGTGTACATCCTGGATTTTGGAAGTCAGGTAATAGCAGCAATGACATCTTTATCGCCAGAATCTAAGCTCACTGAGTCATAAATGGAAAGACTACCTTTGCATATTTCTTGCTGTGGGTCAATATCAACTCAGGAAGCGTGACACTGAAGAGAAAGTTCCCCATCGAGACATTCCTGGTTCAGTGCAACATTTCCCCTTCTTCGAAAAGTTGCAGAGTTGAGATTTTCTTTGCATGTTATTCTTGCTCTTATGAGGTAAATACTAACCACACCTGACCATAGCATACGCCCACCGCTACTCAGACAGCAGACTATCAGATGTCTTGTTACGTTCCCGATATCACTTCACCATCAGAGATTCCAGCAGACTATCAGATGTCTTGTTACGTTCCCCGATGTCACTTCACCATCAGAGAAGCCTAGCTTTAAATACGGGCAGATTGCCGCAAAACTGCTGGCGAACTTAAGCGTGGCCAACTACTCAAATATGGGCAGATAACCGCCCGACTGCTGATGAACTTAATTGCCTAGAGATAGCCAACCATTTAGGGAAGGGGCAAACATCAGTTTCTCGGACTGTAGGAGACAATCATTCAGAATTTATTTTGTATATAAGTTAATGAGATCACTAGTTGATTTGTACCATTTGTATAGAAAAGATGTGAATTAAGTTTACCAAATTAGCTAATCTTGTAACTTATTTCTCTCATTTTACGAAGGCCTATCATAGCAAAATTCGTTTCTGTTATTCTGGATGCACTGAAAACGTATGCAACCAAACAAATAATATTTTTTGGCTTTGATCTTTCAAGGAAGATGATATGCCGACTACTTTTGGCGCACCTGAAGCTGATAAAATTTTGTGAAAACTTGACTGTCTTTCAATATAGTCTATATAGATTTACCACAGTTTCACCCTTGTTTTTCGAAGCGACGAGCCAGAAAATGCGCTTCCTGTTGCCAGTTAAAAGGATTTTAAAATGTTTTCTACAGCCAATGAACATATCTGGGGTTGATCTACAATTTGAGCAAGAATGCATCTTCAGAATTACCACTTGAATCCTGTGCACTGACTTTCTATACGCACCAGTATCTGCTTCCTACTTTGACCAAAAAAACCAACCCTTCCTAGGCTCTGGAACTGCAACGGCCTCTTCATTCTTTTTTCTGTTTTTCATTCCTTGCTTCAGCGCCTGGAGCCTGTTCCTGTGGGGCATTCAAATTTTAAAAGATTTTATTTGTCAAGTAAGAATAGAAGTACCAAATATGGGTGGCGGCTCTTTAACAGAAACAGGGAGGAAAGTTAAGTCAAAGAGGGGAAAGAGAGAAGGAAAAAGGTCCCAACAATCTAAGATTATGCAAAAAGATGAATTCTGCTGGACATTCCAGAGGACAACAGTCAGGATCCCTAACATAATCTACCGACCATCCTACTCATGCAGAGACAAATAATGACATGCAGATGAATTATGCTGTACAAATTAATAAAAGTTCTACAAGGTATAGAAGGAAAAATGCTAAACCCAAGCAAGGAGCCCGAAAATACTCAAGTGTTTGCAGAATTCAAGTCCAAAGTATTATCTACATTCAACTCCCATTCTCATCATTGGTGAAGCCCAACATGTAGCTTCATCTGTGTGATCAAAGTGAAAATCACGTGCGGAAGGGTTCAACTTACAACCTTCACACAGAAATGTAGAGCTGAGTTCAATTTCATCAAAATCATAATGACCACTTGCAGACACCAATCATACTACACGGAAAAGTAATAGAGCAAGTTCAATAATGCAGATATTCTAGCTTGACACAAGAATGAAGATAGTTCTTATTACTTGGTATCTGTAAGGCGACCGTGTAGACTCCATCTCTGCCGAAACCCTTCGATGCCTTCCACTCCACTAGCCAAAATCAAGCGCCTAAATAACAAGAATAAGAAATACATTTATCAGGACTTCAAAGTTATTCACTCATGCAATAAACTCATCTCCTAGTGGGGCAAGACTAGCGGGGCTTTTTTAATCTTCTTTCCCAAAATATCACGTACGAGGTGACTTTGATAAAATGAACAAGAGCCCTAAACTTATTTCAAAGGACATTGACTTGCTTCCTTAAGGCCTGTTACTACTATTAAATCTTTTTCCAGGTTGAAGGTTGATTGGAATCCATATAATACAGGAAAATCGGAATGATTAAATCTATGCTCAATAAGAGAAGTCTGCTATCCACTTTTTTGCCCCTAGTTTAAGGATCACGTATCACACCCAAACCATCCCTTTCCAACATCTGAAAATTCGTACGAGCCCACTATGAAAATTAGTTGACCTATTTGCATTGAAGATGTGTAGCATATTTGCTCACAAGAATGAAGAGTATAATTACACCATGTCATTACGAATCCACTTTTAGTTAGGTAGAAAGTACCAAAGAAAACTATAGTTACACACCATGTCATAACCAATTCACTTTTACTTAGCTAGAAAGTACCTTTCCAATGAAGTTACTTCCGATTCGAGTTGGGTAGCTCTTTCTGTTACTTCTTTTAACGGCATTGACATCCCTAGTTTGCTCTCACTGTCTTGCAATCGTTTCCTAAGTTCTTTGTCCTTGAAACCAAAAAACAAAATGGCAGTTTATAGGCACATTCCCCAAAGGAAATACATACAACTTCTGAATCTAAGAAAGTTAACATAATAAACGGAAATGCTGAAAAATCAAGCACGTAATTTTCATCATCTTACCCTTCTCTCTGCACATTCCCGGTAGAGAGCAATCTCATCTTGACAGAAAGGTTCAATATCCTTTATCTGTAAGCCTAAAGAAGAGGAGAAAAAGAAATAACTGGTCAAGTACTAGAGAAACAGGTGCAGATCCCTCCAGAAAAATCAATAGAGAAACTTACACAGGAATAGGTTCCTCAGAATTCCATCACATAAGTCTACACCTTCAAGCACATGAGAAGCAATTTCTGGGGGAATGATTGGTGAGGGTGGCCCCAACATCAAGTCTTCACCCACCAGAATTGTTTCCTCCATGGTTGGCTGTGAATCGACTAGAACCCCCAAAAGGAAACAAAAGAATAAAATATAAGTGAACTGTTCAACTACTTCCTGTGGTGCCATGAAACACACATATGTGAACATCACAACAACAAAATGCTAATCATAATCACAAGTCTTGGACAATGCTTGTCATATGAAAGAATGATGATTTGAATATGAAATTTGGTCGACAAATCATAGAAGCAAAATGATAATTTCCAATCCAAAACATAACTAGAAAGAAACGATACAGCCCCTACATTCTAATACAGCCTCTATATTACAAAAACAAAGAACAAAAAGAACATTATCAGTCGATATTAACATGGAGAGAGATAAATTTCTTCCTAAATATCTACTCTCTCTGCTACCAGTACTTAAAACATAATCTTAACAAAAAGCTGTGCAAATTTAGTCGAAAAAGTGCAACTAACAAGCTAAAGTTTCTAATACATACACAGTACGCACCTTATACCTGACCGTTAGTAAGCACGGTAAAACGTCACAGACATAAACACAACGGGAACCAACTTAGCAGCTGGACCAACTTACAAAGAATAAAATGAAGAGGTTTGACTTACCATCCATGGCTGCTGTTTCTTCTCCTCTGTCTTCTTGATCCTAAAACCCAAAAGGGTGACCGATGATACAGCGGCAAGTCTACTTTTGGGTTCAAAATGATGACAACAAAATCAAAAACGAAAAGCAGAGCAACTCAATAAGGGTAAGTAAGAGAAGGGGTGGGAAGAAAACTTCAATATATCGCCATAACCCATAATACAGAATTATAGCTGCTCGGAATCTTTGGGTATTTCCAAAGTTACATCCCAAGTCCCACTATCTAGATGAAATCATGAAATTAACAACGCTGTTTGAAGACTCGCCGACGGTGATTAACTAGAATGACCGGCTCAAGTTCCTGGGCCAACTTGGCGGGAGTGCCTAAAAATCCCCACTTATCAGAATCCCTGAAATTAACGGATCTCCGTTAGTTTTTTAATAAAATAATAAATTTAATTACAAAAACACCCCAGTAGTTTGTACAAATTTTAAAAATAATCCCTAAAATATATAAAAATAACAAAATTGTCCCTTTTCACTTTTTTATTTCATTTTCTCTATTTTGTTCCATTTCTCTCAACTACTTTTAATGACCATAAAAATATATTATATGAGTTTTTTTAAAAAAATATTTATTTATTTTCAAACTCTACCGTAAATTAATCTTTGTATTGTTGTAACCCATGATTGTATTTCTATAAGCATGTTAATTTTTTTAATAATATATTTTAGCAATAAAGACACTATTTTTCTGATTTATTTTATTTTTCCTAACGTAAAGATTAAAAACATTTAAACGACACTAATATTTCACATAATAAAATATTAGCTCAAATAAAAAATATTAATATATTTTAGTATAATAAAATTTAACTCAAGAGACTATAACTTGCATTAATATACTTCATAAAAAAATAAATAAAATATAAAATAATTAAGACACTATTTTTCTGATTTATTTTATTCTTCCTAACATAAAGATTAAAAACATCTAAATGAAACTAATATTCCACATAAAAATAAAATATTAGCTCAAATAAAAAAATATTAAGATATTTTAGTGTATTACAATTTAACTCAAGAGACTATAACTTGCATTAATATAATTCATAATAAAATACTAAAATATAAACTAATTAAAATCTTAAAACAAATCCTCCATACATAAGTTTTCCTTCTTGAATCTAAAACCTATTTTCTATCACAACATCTTATTATCATTTTTTTACCTCCACTCATTTATTTTAAACTAAAATCATATAGAATAAACTAGTAAGACTTCCTCTTAGTTAAATATATTAACATCTCAAATAATTATTACAAAATATTAAATCCTCGCATTGATAAGTATAAACATATTTTTTATAAATTATATTATGCCATGTAGTCTCTCTAGTTAAATTGTAATACACCAAACTATACTGATATATTAATTTTTATTTTAGCTAATATTTTATTTTTATGTGGAATATTTTTTCTTTTAAATGTTTTTAATCTTTACGTTAGGATGAACAAAATAAATAAAAAAAATAGTATCTTTATTGCTAAACTATATTATTAAAAAATTAACATGCTTATAGAAATACAATCATGGGTTACAACTACACAAAGATTAACTTTTACAGTAAATTTTAGAAATAAATAAATTTTTTTTTTAAAACTGATATAATATATTTTTATGGTCATTAAAAGTAGTTGAGAGAAATGGAACAAAATAGAGAAAATGAAATAAAAAAGTGAAAAGGGACTATTTTGTTATTTTTATATATTTTAGGGGTTATTTTAAAATTTTTACAAACTACTGGGGTGTTTTTGTATTTAAATTTATTATTTTATTAAAAATCTAACGGAGATCCGTTAATTTGGACGGAAAATAGACCGATTGGACAAAATTGGCGAAAATTTCAAACATTAGGGTAAAGTTGACCGATCGAAAATTTATTGGGTATGATTGACGACGGGGGCAAAGCTTTGGGTAGTAACGACATTTTTTCCTTTTTCCAAATAAGGTTTCTTCTATAAACAGAAACTCAAACAAAAATAGGCCCACTAGACTACTTGCTAGATCAATCATCAATTTTAATTTAAAGTTGAAGCCTTCAAAAAAAAAAACAGAAGAAGTTGAAGGACTTTGTAGTTAGTAATTGAAATTGAATGCAGGGGAGGAGGATTAATATAGCAAACCGCGTTGAAAAGTGGGATAGAGTTTTGGAGACTATTGGTGTTGAACTCCATCGGTTGACCACCCAAAAAAGAGACAAATTCAAGAACCCGTGAAGAAACAAATCAAATCAGAAATGCCATTCTGAATACTAGGAGTTTTAATCCAATCAAAACAACAAAACGAATCAAATTATAATACGAGAACTGACGCCAAAAACTTCTATGTGTATTTATTTACCAATCGAAATCCCCAAATCTAAAAACCCAAAATCCATCGAGCTTAACATTAGACTTACATTTATTTCTTGCAGTTCTTGTGTCTGAAGGAGGGAGACGAGGAGGAGGAGGAGGAAGGCTGGGAGGGGCGGCTTCGGTGGTGGAGGCGGAGAAACGGGCGGAGGTGCAGCAGCGGGCGGTGGCGGCTTGGCTTCTTTGCCGTTTGGGAATGAGGAAAAAAAAAAGAAATTGGAGGCGGAGGCTTTGGTTTGGGTATGAGAAGAAAAAAAATACCTATTTATATCTAGGGTTTGGGGAAAAATGGGAAAAAATTTCAGAGGGAGACGAGGAGGAGGAGGAGGAAGGCTGGCAGAGCGGCTTCGGTGGTGGAGGCGGAGAAACGGGCGGAGGTGCAGCAGCGGGCGGTGGCGGCTTGGCTTCTTTGCCGTTTGGGAATGAGGAAAAAAAAAAGAAATTGGAGGCGGAGGCTTTGGTTTGGGTATGAGAAGAAAAAAAATACCTATTTATATCTAGGGTTTGGGGGAAAAATGGGAAAAAAATTTCAGAGGGAGACGAGGAGGAGGAGGAGGAAGGCTGGCAGAGCGGCTTCGGTGGTGGAGGCGGAGAAACGGGCGGAGGTGCAGCAGCGGGCGGTGGCGGCTTGGCTTCTTTGCCGTTTGGGAATGAGGAAAAAAAAAAGAAATTGGAGGCGGAGGCTTTGGTTTGGGTATGAGAAGAAAAAAAATACCTATTTATATCTAGGGTTTGGGGGAAAAATGGGAAAAAAATTTCAGAGGGAGACGAGGAGGAGGAGGAGGAAGGCTGGCAGAGCGGCTTCGGTGGTGGAGGCGGAGAAACGGGCGGAGGTGCAGCAGTGGGCAGTGGCGGCTTGGCTTCTTTGCCGTTTGGGAATGAGGAAAAAAAAAAAAGAAATTGGAGGCGGAGGCTTCGGTTTGGGTATGAGAAGAAAAAAAATACCAATGTTAGTGCGTGGGGGGACTCGAACACACGACCTCAATCAATCAAATACAAGAATGGGGGAACAATAATGCCACTGAGACTACTTACGAATTTCAATAAAGTTATTATCCCCCCATATATATACAAAACCATCATATTATTATTTAATAATATATATATATATATATATATATACGGTCCGATCCGGTTTGACAGTGCCAAACCGTAATCCGGACCGATATGACCGGTTTTCAATTTTCAAATCCACCGGTTTAGAAATTCATTTATAATCCGCCCACTAATCCAAACTAATGACCGGTTTGGGCGGTTTCACCGGATTGAACCAAACCGTGAACACCCCTAATTTATATCAATAACTTTCAAGAGGCTATGCAAATTTTGGAATTGAATCCTAAACATACAGACTGGTACTGTAGGGTTACTGTAAATAAGACCTTATAAATTGATTAACTCATGGACATTTGAGTATACAGAAGAATTTGTATAAATTAAAAATAATGTTAGGACCACTAAAATTTATTAATTTAGAGAACTATTAAATAATTACTAAATTAATAATTTAAATAATTTCTATGAAAGAAAGAGAATCGACACATAATAACTTAATTTGCAATTGTCTTTATATGAATCAACCAAGTATTAAAGTTTTTATGAACACTAAAAATCTGTACATAATTCATATTATCTCCAAGGACAAAAAGACAAGGTATTTTTAATTTAAGGCATTGTTGAGACCTATAAATACATAGGAGATTTTCTGAAATATTGTTATCTTATCATTATGTCAACTTTTTACTTTTTGTATGTGTTCTAAGTTGACAGCGGAATGAATTATTAATGGCTATAAGTTATTAATTTATAAATTATTAATTTAGCGACGTTCTATTGTAATTTTTTGAATAAAATTATACCATGAAATTTTTAAATGATAAAATCAATTAAAAAGAAAAATTAAATAAGATATTAGTTTTTATAACGTTACTTTAACTAGTACATACTCGCATGTTGTGCGAGTTATAATGGTTTTTAATTTAAATTTATAAGAATTCTAATTAGTAAAAAGTTAAAAATACTGTATTCGTTTCCGTAATTTTTTGAGAAAATGGTAAGATCTTGTCTTGTTTATTTTGTGAACAAATTTTAAGATCTAATCTTTTTTTTTTTCAAATTCATTTTTTTTTTAAAAATATTAACTAGCCACAATAATTTGACACCTTAATTTCAAAATAATGTTATTAACATATGAATTAGATCTCTCAGCTTATATAAGTATTGTAACTAAACAAAATTCAAATCAACATTCAATACAAACGACAACAAAAAATGATAAAATATCAGTAAGAAAAGTGATCCTTGTAATTAGCCCCGTATCTAAAAAAAATAGCACAATATGTCTTTGTCAATTAAAAAACCATCACAACAATCTGAACCATCACTATATGACCATAGAGCACGCACCACCATTTGTAAATAATCGATAACCATCACCTCCATTTTTTAAAATGAAATAAATTCTTATATAACTATTCTTATCTTCTGTTTCATGTGACGAATCTATTTAGGTGAGATTTTTTTAATTTTAAGTAAAATTTTAAACTTGTTAATACATAAGGTTATTAATTAATTTTTTACTATACATTTTGATTGAGTGTAGTAATTACCCGTCGCATATGAAAATTTATTTTGTATTAATAACATATATTCCAAGAACATTATGCAGAAATTGAACAATTATAAGCATTTGAATTATCTTAGTTGACTTCGAAGGGCGGCACCTTATCACGGCCATAGGTATAGATCTTGGAAAGAACAAAAATGACTTATTCCAACCGACATCTTAGGGAATTGGGGAAATTTTTATCATTGATTTCAGATCTCATGGTGGCTATTCAAATGTTGTGAATCAGTTGGAACTTTGAATGAATATAATATCATCGATAAGTTGGAACTGAAAGAATTCATCAACTTACAAGTTGGAATTGAATATTACTTCAATGTCTTCATTCTACTCTACATCTTGAATCAGTCCTCCCCTGTGTAACAAAAACGTGAAATCTTGTTGAATGAAAAGGTCTTTATTATTCAGATCATATATATATATTTATAAACAGATATATTGAACCTCTTGTGAGACTGAAGATAATGTGGTCTGTGTTTTTACCAAAAATTATGAATAACTTTTCTTTCCTTTTCATAATTCGTTTCTTCTGTAAATGGTAATGGTCAAGTCATGCCGGTACACATTTTAGTTTATTAATTGTGTCTCTCTTACAAGTTACATTATGATGCTTCTTTTTTTTTTTTTTTGGAGACCACCATCTACATGATGACCATGATTAGTATTGTTGAAATTAAGCATGTGACGTGATAGAAACATGCTTAATATAAGGATACATAATTAAGTAAAGGCGAGATATTTTGAAGCGCTTTATCTTAATTTTTTGGTAGGGCATAGTTGATCTCCCGAAATTTAATTAATTAGAAGGTCTTGGAGCAAAATTGAAAATAAATAAATAAATAAATAAATCTGTCTTCTCTCATTAAATTTGGTGTATAAAATATAAATTCTGTCTCTGTAGAGAATGACATAATTATATGGTATGTTATGTTAATATATATATATATTATAAACTAATAATAATGTAGTTCTATAGTTATTCTGCCTCAAGAAAATAATTAATTTAGTATACTTAATTAGAAATACTTTTCCCTTGAAATGGATAAAGTATATTGTCATGTCATTCTCTAGAGATTAGATTCTAACACGATAAATAAACATGTGATTAAATGACTTTGATCATAATAATCTCCACAATTCTATAATTATCAAGCATATATCTGCTTGCTGTAGATATGCATACATTCCAATATGCACCTTCAAAGAAACCACTACTTCTTCATCACATCAAGTTATTTATTCTTCACCCTGTCGTGTCGATTTGATTTTGACGTCGAATATTTCTTGCTCCTCAAATCATACAACGACTAGGACCACTTCTAACATAATTCAGCATATTAATTTATTCTTCTTGTAATAATTAATAACCAATCCAGCCCTTAATCATCATTACGTAATTTAAAAAGCAGAAGAAAGTATCCATATTCACTTAATCAATCAATTAATAATTAGTTTTCCACTAAAATAAGTGCAACATACTTAATTGTATTATATGGAAAACTCGAATGACCTGCAACATGATGTAACGGAAATCGCACATTCTTGTAATATATTATAATGTAATTTTCAGGTTATGTCTCTTTCATTGTACTGGAAAAATTATACATATGTACATGATATGGAGAAAATATAACAAATTAAGATGGTCTTCTTTGTTGAATTTGAACTTGAAGACCACCTCTAATACTAGCTGTTAAGCCAGGAATGAACTTCGGATTATGTCTCCTACTACTACTACTACTACTATTACTAATAGGCATATCTTCAACTTTGATATCAAATTGCCTAATCAAAGAAAGAGCAATAGTTTTCATCTCCACAATGGCAATATCCTTCCCCAAACAAACCCTACATCCACCTTGAAACACCGGGTACTTGTACGGACTTTCCGGCTGAAAGATCCCGTCTTTCAACCATCTTTCCGGCTTGAACTCAATAAAATCCGGCCCCCAAATGTTAGCCATCCTCCCCATTGCGTAAGGATGGTACGTCACCCTCGTGCCTTTCCTGACAAAGGTGCCGTCAGGAAGAACATCATCTTGTTGACAAAACTTGGAATCGAACTGAACCGGTGGGAACAACCGCATGCTCTCGTACATCACCGCGTGCAAGTAATGCATCTGTTGCATTTCTTCGTAGCTCGCGAGGACTTGATCTCCACATGTGCCCATGATGTTGTCGGATTCTTCGCGGATTTTGGATTCGACTTCAGGGTGTTTTGCTAGTAACCAAAAGAAACAAGTTAAAGCACTAGCAACCGTGTCGCGGCCCGCTAAGAGGAAACTAACCACAATGTCTCTCAAATACTTGTCATCATCAATGTTGCTCATGAATCTCGACAAAAGGTCGTTTTGAGCTGAAAATGTTGTTCCATTTTGTTGCCTCTTTTGTTTTATAACTCCCTCGGCTAATGAATCCACCATTTTGATAGCTTCTTTCAGTTTCCTTTCGCTTCCATAATTGAACATCCTCTTCAGCTTCCAAGCAAACGGAGACGGAGAAATTGCCCTTTGCGCTGACAATTTCGACGCGAGGTCGAAAGCGTCAGCTAGTTCAGAGTCAGGGAGTGACAATTCGAGACACGAGGGATCCATCCCGAACGAGAACTTGCAAATCGTGTCGAATGAAAACCTTCTCAACACGTCTTGCAAGTCCAAAGCCGACTTTTCCGATTGCGCGGCAGATGAGATTAGCGGAATCAGGCGAGTTTTGATTTCGGTAAGAACCGTCTCGAAAGCGTAGGAACGTATCGAGACGCTTCCCAATTCAAGACTTGCCATCTTCCGTTGAAACTTCCATGAATCTCCGTCAACGTTGAAGATCCCACGGCCCAATAAATCGCCCAAAATCGCCGAAAACGGCTTCCCTTTGGGGAAGTTGTCGAAGTTGGTCTTGAGAATGTACTCGACGTTTTCTGGATTTGCAGTGATAACATTGCCAAGAACATGAATGTGGATCGACCCAGTTGGGCTTTTCTGGAGTAAATATGAATACCAATCGCAGAGATTGTCGAATCCATTAGCCCAACTCGAAGTCAAATAAGCACTGCAAATTTCACAGTTACACCATGGTTTGTATCTTAGGAAAAAAGCCAGAAGAGACAGAATTGAAAACAGAATTGCAAAACTGAAGAAACAGAGAGAAAAGCTGGCTTGCAGAAAAGCATGTGCTTCAGAGAAAGTTGTCATAGTGAAGAATATGGGAAAAAGGTTATTAAATGATGGAGAAGGAAAGAAAAAGAGCTGAAATAAGAAAGATTTGATGATAGAGAGGAAATGAGTTTTTTGGTGAATGTATATATAGATGATATATAGATGGGGAAATGGAGGTTTTGGGGGAAAGATACATTGATTATGGCCTATGTGAAGAAAAAAAAAAGAGTGGAGAATCCGTGGGCTTATTAGAAAGTGGGGTCAAGAGCGGACAACCACGAGACAGTTAGATGATTGGAGACATCAGACATGACCTCTACCAGTTATGTTAGTTTTTTTTTTTTTTTTTTTGTCTAGTGTTTGTTTTGAACTGTTGAACTAGTTGTGCTTCAAGTGGTCACCGGTGCGAGTGAGACCCAACCCAAGAGTTAACTTTCCCTTTCATGGGGCTGACAATCCGTGTCGAGTTGATAGATCAAGATGAACCCAAACACAATTTTTTTTTTCCTCTTTTCAGATAATTTGAATTGTGAACTTGAACATGACGTGTAAAGTAATAAATTGTCATATACATATTTCAATTCTAATTTAACATAAAAGTTTACATTTCACCCATTTACATTTAGTCCAGAAATAGGAATTATATTTTCTAAATGATTTAATTTTATACTCTATTGTTAACTTCGGACAGATAACTAATCATGTCATGTTTTGAATTACTATTAAATCGAACATAATGAACTTTTTCTCTATAATGCGGGTGTAAATATTATTTTAATGAGACAAATTCAATACTTTTTTTATGAAATTTTTATATCAGTTTCTCATTCTCAACGAATCACTATCTAATTAAGCTAGAGTGCTATATGAAACTGGTCATCACCAATGATTTGTGAGGGAAATTAGGATAAAAACTATCATTTTCGCACACTTTAACTACTTTTAGCTGGTAGTTGTTGTCTAGCAACTATAGTAGCAAGACGCAAGTGGAAGAGCTGCCAAAATTGTCTCCAACCCAAAATCTCACAAAAAGGTAAAAAGAAAACAAAAAGAGAGAGACAAACACACGAGCTGGACGCATATAAAATGGCACGAAAAACGCGTGCGCTAATTAAAAAAGAAAGCGGAACCCCCCTCGAGTCTCGTCGACTATTTTCTAAAAGTTCTATGTCGACTGCTTCTAAGTTCTACCCCTTTGGTCAACTCTCAACACACGTGCTCTTTTGAGTCTTTTCTTTCACTTTGAACACCCCCAACTTCCCCCATGTTCTCCAATTATATTCTACTTCTTCCACTCGGGGCAACAGATTGTCCTTGTACTATATCTCTGATTTCCTAATTAGCCTCGAGCCAAATTATTTGGAAAGATTGGAACATGAGTAGAGATCTTACCAACCCTACATCTATTCTGATTTAGTTGTCTGCTTTTTAAAAAAATATATTTATGAACTATTTTTGACGATAATGATTAATCTATTCACTGAATTGTGGATTTCTCAAATTGTAGAATCGGTGACTTTGATTTTGATTATAAACAAAAAAAAAAAAACATGGACGATTAACATTATACGAAAGAAAGATATGAGTATTTAAACATTTATGGTCGTATTTATAACATCTCTCTTTCAAAGTTTTTATTTTAAGAAGAATATCATGTGGGTGTACGTATACTTTTAACTAATGTTCACTGCTGCATTTGGTCGTATTAGTTTTTATAAGCCATTGTTTAAATCTAGGTTTGATTTTATAACAACCACGAGATGCAATTAAATACGAACCAATAGTTGTTCACAATCCATTGCCATCCAATTGAGAAATCAATAGTTCTTCTGTTTAAAATATGTTAATATATGTAATAAAAAAAATAAACTTTATTTTAAGTTTGGAATTTAACGATCAAAATTTGAGGGCTCTAGAAATTGTTTTCTTGTTTGTCTCTGGTGAGAGCCCACCGTAGAAGCCTTAGGAAGAAAATCGAAAAGCCATTTTATGTCCATGAAAGAAAGCAAAACGTATCTTCCCTCGTATTGGAACAAATACGCCTTTGCATTGTCATCCAAAATTTTTACCAAAATTTGTTTTTACTTTCTTTCCCATTCAACCAGTCAAATGGCAAAGATCAATGCCTCAAATACGATGGCCAATAAAACCAAAACATTTCTCTGTGTTTTTTTCTTTTCTGAAAGTTACATTTTAGCCTGATCATGTCTTATATAAATTTATTATTAACTCTACGTACTTCTATTATTAATTCCCTGCCATAAAATAATTGTCTCTAAAATAAACTACCCTCAAACTCAATATATATTCGGTTGAGTACCCAAAAAAAAAAAAAAAGAAGCTAAAATATGCATCAACGTGCATCACACCTGGATGTACTTCTGTTTTTTACCAGAAGAACGATATTTTAAACATTGCGGTTCGATAACTGAAGAGCTGGTTGATCCTGTCTTTATCAAGTTCACTTTCATCCATCAATTTATACTTAGTATAGCGAATGACAAGACTCTGGAACTTGAGACGCATCATTCCTTTTTAATGGTCTTATTAGATCGATACTATTAAAAATGAGCTCTTTCTGTTCTAAATTACTTGTCAGATAGAAAATTTAAATTGTACTATTATTTTGGGACCAAAAAGAAATATTTTTTAAAGGATAAACGAATGGCAAAAGAAAACCTGAATAAAGAGTTTGCCTTAACCGTGTTTTAAAAAGTTTTTATATTGTCATGATTGTTTGGTCGTCAGTGTTGTTACTACCTCTATTCGTTTTTTAATATGACGTTTTTGGAGAATATGTATGTATTGTTCATTGATCACTCTGCATGGCTCTCAAGATAACATTGATTATCTTTTTATTTTAAGTTAATGTTTCCCCACTTTTAATAAACTACACTGCATCAATCATCAACAACCCACTTTCAGTAGTCCTTTTATTTACTCGTCAAGTTTCACAAAAAATTGTTGCGCATTTAATTAATAAAGAAGAAAGGTGCTGTTATAGATAACTAATTCTCTAAAAAATAGTCATGCCATTTTATGTGATGTGATATGTGTGTACTTTACTCAAAATTTCACAGCCGTATACGTATGTGAGCTTTCTCATGTAATCCTCGCTTGTAAGTATATCCTAGTCGAATATATATGGATACATAATGACATATTTATGGGCTATCGGACTCCTGACTTCTTTCTAATTAATATTAATTTTGATTTTTTTTAATCTGATTTCTAACTACTAATGTTATACTCCCTCTACCTACTTTGAATTTTTATTTTTATTAAAAATAAACTAAAAGTGAAAATTTAAACTGAATAATAATTTTGAGACCGAATGAATAAATTATTTTTAAACTATTCGCACCTTTTTTTGTGAAATTCTTGAGTATGAGATAGAAAGGTTTGGAGATTATGAACATCAGAAACCCATTTTACACGTTTTAAATGAGTCACCAAAATGCCACGTTACGATGTTGCTTACGTTAATAAAGGCCAAAATAAACCAAAAAAAAAAATCTGGAATGTTTTGGTTGGTGCTGTGGTTTTAAATGTACTCCGTACTATGTTTTGACGAGTCGTCAAGTTTCAGTTGTTGTTGTTTTTTTTTTTTTTTGTGTTTGTTCATTCGTCGGCCACCATGAAGTCCATCTTATGACATGATAGCTGATGTCAAGTTTTTCTAAAAAAAAAATTCTTCCTTTTATTTTTCTTCTTAATTTAAATGATTTTTTTTTATTAAAAAAAGCTGGCCATAGAAAAACTCATTCTAACTTTTATTCCACGTAACAAGAGAGCATTCGAAACCCCATTGTGGGAGGTCATTAATTCAATACTCACTAGCTGAAAATTTACAACAGTTAGCCCATCCTTCCTCATTAAAAAATGTAAACTACAAATTTCAGGTATGAGCTTCATTATTTGATTAGACATCCCCCTACTTTGTTGTGTCCGTTATCTTAGAATGGAACACCAATAAATGTTATTGGACAACTGTTACAAAATTTGGTATGAGGAGAACATGACACAATCATTTTCAGTCTTGAATCTTCAACTCCGGCTCTTCTTCCGGTTGCCAACTTCGGCCTAAGATCAATATGCAATCAAGATATGCATAAATGTTTAACATACAAATTGATGCATTCGAATGTTAAGTATCCCACATCGGTGGTGGGAGAGACTTGATATCAATATATAAGTCTATGGGCTACTTAGTGCATGCCGAGTTCACCAAAAAAAATATTACTAGCTTGGATTGTGATTTTTGTAGATAATGGAAGCTAGGTCGATCCCACGAGGATAGCTAATTACCAAATTTGTTGTTAAAAGACTACCAGTTAGACAAGGTGTTACTTATGTTAACTAAGTATATTCCTATCTTAGTTAAAACCATAGACTGTTACCTCTATATTATAAGTTAAAGTTGAAGCAATACAAACCAAGTT